CTGTTAGTGTTACAGTTACTGACCACTGATCTCCATGTATGCTGTTAGTGTTACAGCTAGTGACCACTGATCTGTGTATGCTGTTAGTGTTACAGCTAGTGACCACTGATTTCTCTGTGTATGTTGTCACAGTGCTACAGTTACTGAACACTGATCTCTGTGCATGTTGTTACAGTACTAGTTATATGTATATTGCCCACAGGAGTGGCCTGTGGACTTGAGCAAGGTTCCATGTTCCTGAGTCCTGTGCCATATACTATCTCATCATGATCCCCGGATAATACTCCAAAAAAAAAAAAAAAAAAAAAACCCAAACTTACTGCCGTCGAGTCAATTTCAACTCATAGCACCTCCTCTTTAGGTTTCCGAGGCATTATCTCTACGGAAGTAGATTGCCTAATCTTCCTTCTGAGGAGTGACTGGTGGCTTTGAACCACCAGCCTTCTGGTTAGCAGTCAAATGCCTTAGGCTCCATGACACCAGAGCTTTCATCTGAAAACCCAGGACCAAAACCAGAGGGCTAGGAGTTTAAAGTTGCCTGTCTTCTCCTAGGTGTGCGTAACTTGTTTTTAATGACAAATATTGCTGAAGACTCTTAAGGCCTAAGATCCCAAAGGAAGCATCCACGTACAACTGCTAGACATCACAGATTTGCCTCGGGGAGGGGTAGTGTAAAACCGTATGTCTCGGAAGGGGTGCAGCATGCCCAGTACCTGGCAGACAGGCTTCCGCTAGCAGAGTGTAGGGAATGCCAGCAGGCTGGTCTCTCGGGTCTCGGTCGGAGATGTCGATGGCTATAAACTCCTCGCACCTTCCCACGGGGTCAGCCACACAGTCAACGGTTACGACCTGCTGCCCTCCGGGAGGAATGGAGCCAAAACCAGGGTACACGGTGAACATGCCATGGCTGAAGCGAGCCTGCCGGACAAGAGTGAGAGAGGTAGAAGGCTGGAGGCAGAGCGGTGACGGAGTCTGAGACCCATGCAGAGCCATAAGATGGTGTGAAGAGGGGCAAATGGAGACCCCTCCCCACAGGCCCTCCCTGGGCCTGGAGGAAGAGGGCCAGGGCCAGCGCCCAGCGATGGCCAGGTTCTTCTGGGATGGGCTCCCGCTGTACTCCTTTATGTGCACACTCCTCTGACCAATGATGATTCAGGGTGGGGTTTACCTCAAATATATCTACCCAGTGGGTCTCCCAGAGGGGGGTTGGCAGGGTGCAGAGGGCAGAACGGAATAATGTTTCAGATCATGGACCTCTGTGGCAGACAGTCCTGGGTTTGAGTCCCAGCCATGTTAGGTACTAACTGACTTTGGACACATTACTTTGCTGAGCCTCAGTTTATTCATCATAAAATGGGGCTAAAGGCCCTACCTCGAGATTTCTGAAGGCTTAAGTGCCACAATGTGTATAAAGCATTTAGCACAGCATCTAGAACAAAAAAATACTCACAAAATGGAACAGCAGCATGCACTGCTCTGTTCTGCCCTTGTCCAGCATCAGAAAGCTGCCAAGGAGCAGTCTGACGTAGGCTGTCCTTCTCTGGGCACCGGGTCTACCATCCCTGGAAGCTGCCACAGTGGTGGGTGGGGACATTGTTGGAACCGACTCTTGCTCTTCTCCCCCTCGGAATGCCTTTTTCCCCTCTCCTAAATCCCTTTCAGCATGTACTATAGTAATACTGTGTGAGGAAGTGCTTCATTCTGATGGTGCTCAGACATGAACTCTAGATTCAGGAAGCTCCCTAAATTCTTACCATGCTGGTGCAGGTGGCTGGGCAGGCTGCCCCCCCCCCACCTCTGGGGGGTACTCTTTACACAGGTGCCCTAGGGCTGGGCAGTGTGCAACACACAGTGTACACGGCGGCTATGACTGACCTAATTCAGTCACTATTCAGTGAACACTTACCATGTGTCAGGAAGTGTACTAGGCACTGGCTGGTTGTTGTTGGTTGCTGTTGAGTTGGTGTTGACTCTTGGCAACCACATGTACAACAAAACAAAAAGCTGTCGGCCCCACTGTCTTCACAATCATTAGAAAGCTTGAGTCGGTATGCTTGAGGCTTCTTGCATCCACTGTGTACTTTGAATACCTTCCAGCCTAGGGGCTCATCTTCCAGTGCCATGTTGGACAATACTCTGTTGTGATCCTAGGGTCTTCATTGGCTAATTTGCAGAAGTAAATCACCAGGCCCTTCTTCCCCGTCTGTCTTAGTCTGGAAGCACCACTGAAACCAGTCCACCATGGGTGAGCCTGCTGTCCCTTGACATACTGGTGGCATGCTTTCAGCATCACGGTAATGTGCAAGCCACCACAGAATGACAAAATGACAGATGAGTAGGAGCTGTTAGGTGCCGTCAAGTAGACTCTGACTCATAGCGACATGAGGTCCAACAGAATGAAACGCGGTCTGGTCCGGTGCCATCTTCACAATCCTTGCTGTGCTTTAGGCCATCACTGAAGCCACTGTTATCAGTCCATCCCACGGAGGGTCCTCCCCTTTGTCTCTGACCCTCCACTTTACTAAGGGTAACATCCTTCTCCAAGGACTGATCTCTTTTGACAACATGGCCAAAGCAGGTAAGACGAAGTCTGGCCATTCTGGCTGCACTCTTCCAGGACAGACCTGTTGTTCTTCTGGCAGTCCGTGGTATTCGTAGTATTCTTTACCAACATCACAGTTCAAAGGCATCAACTATTCTTCAGTCTTCCTTATTCATTGTGCAGCTTTCACATGTGAATGAGGGGACTGAAAATACCATGGCTTGTGCTAGGCACAACCTAGTCTTAAAAGCGACATTTTTGCTCTTCAACACTTTAAAAGATGTTTTGCAGCAGTGGAGGCACTGATAACTCTGGCCAGGAGTTGGCCCAGACCTCATACTGTTTATGCTCCAGTGCAGATGGCAGAGAGAAAGCAAATGAACCAAGTATCAAGACACTGAGAAGAGGGCTATGGAGGAAACAAGAAGGAGTTAGGATAGAAGATAACAGAGTGATCAGGGAAACCATTCTGAGGAGGTGATATTTAAGCTGAGATTTGAATGATGAGAGGAAGCTAGCTAAGCCCAAAGCAAAGGATGTAGGGGAGTGCATATGAGAAGAACATTATGAAAAGGGAACAGCATGTGCAAAGGGCTTGAGGCAGGAAATAGCTTGGCCTATTTAAGGAACTTAAAGTGGTCCGGGGGCTGCATGGAGTGAGCAGGAGGGAGATGGAGGTTCCAATGTGACAAGAGAGGGAGGCAGGGGCCAGTATACACAGAGCCCTGCAGATCTCAGGGAGAAGCGGGACTTCATTCCATGAGAAGCTACATTTCTAAGCAGGAAAGTAACATGATGCAAAACCATGTTTCAGAAAGTGCAGGGTACTTATCAACGATTAGTGGGGAGCAAGATGGGTGGAGAGGAAGGCTTACAGGCTTGAGGGGAGGGAAAATGGTGTGGTAAGAGTCACCCAGGAAGCAGGAAAGAGCCTTGAGAGACAACATGGGGCCTGCAAGGCAGTGCTGAGGGCCCATTAGAGTGACATTCGTGGTCATGAATTCAAAGAGCACTCCATCAGCCACACTCAATACCTGACTGTGGACGGATGGTAGGATGGGCCTGGATGTGGGTTTTTTTTTTTCTAGGTCAGAACAAGGGAGGGAGAGAGAGGAAAAAGAGAGCAGGTATTTGTGAGGGAGTGATTCTAAAGGTGGTCCACTGAATCTAGGCTGGACAATGATGGAGTGAAACAGGGAGAAGGTTGGCACATAGTACGAAACTGACAGTGTGTTGTCTCAAAGAACAGCTGAAATGGGTGGACTTGAGCTAGCAAGTGGGGAGAAGTGGACACGGTGCTGAGGGAGGGATCTGGGCAATCAAGACTGCAGAAGCTCCTCAGTTTCCAGTGATACGAAGTTCAGAGGGTGACGGAAGAGTAGGCAAGGTAGAGGAGAGGAAAACATTATTAGAACTGAAAGCTGGGCATTAGACATAGACTGCTTCACTGAAGGCTGAGACCATACAGTGGGTGAAGAAGGTAAATATTTCAGAGACAAGAGAGAGATACACACAGAAAATTATGTATGCTAATTAAACCACTCCTTGGAAGGAAGGTTGGGCAATCTACTTCCATAGTGATACTGCCTAGGAAATCCAAGGAGGGGTTGCTATGACTCGGATCCGACTCGAAGTCACATAACAACAATAAAAATTAAATGAAAGGCGTCTGTTGAAAAGAGGAGGAGATGACATAATGAGAGATTAAAAACTCGTACTGAGAACACCCAGTTCAATGCAATCAGTACTTACTGGTGCTCTCAAAGTGCAGAGCCCCTACTTCCACTTTCTCTGCCTTTGATGCAGACGTGGTAGCTGAAGCTGTAGCAGCCATCTTGGAAACATGAAGGAAAGACTAAGAGAACCACAAACATCAATAAGGCACTAAGCCAATACTGGCAACTTCCTGCTGTATTTAAATATAGCCTTATCTGTTGAAACCACGAGTATTAGATTTTCTGTTATTTGTAGCTAAACTAGTTCCTTTACATTTCCATATAATTTTAGAATAATCTTGTCTATATCAATGATTTTCTCTATTATTTTTCTGTTTTCATTTAATTGATTCCTGCTCTCATCATTATTATTGCCTTACATGTGATTGCTTGGCGTTTATTTTGCTCTTCTTTTTCTACATTCTTGAAGTGGGAGCTTAGATTATTGTTTTCTTCTTTATTAATGTAAACATTTCAGTGCTATGAATTTTCCTCTCAGCACTGCTTAACCCATGTCTCACAAATTTTGACACATTATATATTCATTTTAATTCAATATACTTCTTGATTATCCTTGAGACCTGTCTTAGACCCATGGGCTATTTAGAAATGTGCTGTATAGTTTCCAAGTGTTTGGAGAGTTTCCTGTTATATTTCTGTTAGGTGTTTCTAGTTTAATTCCATTTGTATTCAATGAACACACTCTGTATAATTTGAATTCTTTTAAATTTGTTGAGTTTTGTTTCATGGTCCAGGATATGACCTATCTTGACCATGTTCCCTGGTTGCTTGTAATTTCTATTGTTCTGTCGTTAAATTCAATGATTCTTTTCTCTGTCCCTTCTGTTTTGTTTGAGTTCATCCATTAAGTTTTTTTTTTAATTCCATACATTATCTATTTTATTCAGATAGCAACCTGATCACACAAGGTCCGAACACTCAAGTGTTGTTGTTGTTGTTATTTGCCATCGAGTTTAACCCGACTCATAGTGACCCCTCCTTGGGTTTTTGAGGCAGTATCACTAAGGAAGTAGATTGCCCAACCTTCCTTCTGAGAAGTGGCTGGTGGATTTGAATTGCCAGCCTTCTGGTTAGTTGTCCAAAGCCTTAGGCACTACGCTACCAGAGTTCCCCATTTGTTTCTGGTATATATGTAATTGCTCATTGAAGCATTTTTATATCGGCTGCTTTAACCTCTTTGCCAATTCATTCTAACACCTCTGTCATCTCAGCACTGCCATCTATTGACTGCCTATTTTCATTCACTTTAACATCTTTCTTGTTCTTGGTATACTGAGTGATTTTCAATTGAACATTTTTGGTATTGTGAGACACAGTATGTTTGAACTAGCTTTTTTTGACAGTACTCTGTCAGGGAAAGGGGGGTACCACCTCATTACTGTTTGGTGGTGATCATAGTCCATGTTCCCCATTCAGAGTCATTATTACTGGCTGGCAGGGTGGGAGTTCTGGCTCTCCATTAGGCATCTACTGATAACTACTTGGCTGGGAGGGATGGGAGTGCCTTGTTACTGACTGCTCTGCTAATCCAACAGAGAAGAGGGGACTGGTGCCCTCCCTAGCAGTAAGCCTGCTCTGACATCATTCCAGTGGTGGTGTGGCTATCACTGTGAGTGGTGGGAGTCAAGGCTCCTCATGTGGTGGGTCTCCACTGATACTGGGAGAGAGGTGCTCTTACCACCTGGTGGGAACAAATTTCCTGGTTCTCTACTTGGCCTTTGTGAGGGTGGGGCCATAGAGTTTGTGTGCAGTGTTTGGCTGGGGCAGAACAGCTATTATCTAACAGTTTGCCATCGTACTAGGCTGCCCCTTCCCTGGCCCTCTGGGTAAGGAGACCTAGCTTTTGCTGAGGCTTTTTTTTTTTAACCATCTGTTATAATGTTTTTAATTGTATTATTTGTTATTCTCCAAAAATAATATGTCAAGTAATTCAGTCTTTGACTACTGAAGTACATCTACTGCATGTAAAAAATAAACAGGGAGAATATGTTGGGGACCAAGAAAAAGATCCCCAAAAGAACATGACTGCAAGGCACATGTTCTAATTACAGTGAAGAGATGATGAGGCCTCTCTTGTGATTGAGTGTTTGCTTTTAGAGATGGCAAGGCCTCTCTGTGGTTGAATGTTGCTTTAAGAGATGGCAAGGTCTCTCTCACTGTTAAATACTTAATTGGCAAAACATAAAAGTATTAAAAGTAGATGTTATTCTCCATGTTTTTTATCTTATTGGAATGTTTCATACTTTGCATCATTGTGTCCTAGTAAACATTTATCGTTTATTTTCCTTACTCCTGAGAAGACTTCTGTGATTGTTTTAATGACCACCTGTTGTCCTTGAGCATGTAGAGGAGTAAAACTTTAGCTCTGTAGAGAATAAGCTGATTGTATGACTTCCAAGACTAATGATGTAATCATGTACAAACATGTAAATAAAGTAGAACAAAGGCATCAGGGGTTGCTCCCGCAGAACACGCAGGCCGTCCACCTGGCCCCCGTTCTTTAAATAACAATAAAGAAAAACCATCAATCCTTTCACGTTGCTTCATTTCGTGACCTGTGCGGTTCCACCAGACGCGGCAGGCCACTGCTACCCAGCATGGGTGGAGCCAGCCCTCCCATGGAGTCCCCCACTGCAGTGGTCAAGGAGGGGATAGGGCCCCCCCAGGCAGCTGGGCTGCTTCCCCGTCTTCACACCTTGGCTACATGGTTCCCCAAAGACAGCCTGGGAGCTGCTGCCCCATGGCCAAGGTCAGACAGGACCATGGGGCCTTCAGGAAAGGGATCCAGCTCACCCGGCCCATCTCCCTGGGGCCCGTCCTATGACACTGCACAGAACCTCGAAGTCCAGCACGGTTTACGGTGTCCTCTCCCTGGGGCTACCCGTTGGAACAGAGCTGTGGAGTCTCTCCCTCACTTGTCTGCTCATTCATTCCTTCTTTCAGTATCCGAGAGAGGATAACAGAGCCAGGCGTGGGGCTGGCCACTGGGCCCCTGTAGCCAGGAGGACCAGCCTGGAAGGATGGGAGCAGGCAGTGACCCATGGGCCCAGGTAGGGGGGCCCTTTAGGGGTGAGGATCTGCTAGGGGTCAGTGACATCCCTGAGGAAGGGGCGCAGAAGGAGAGTGCAGGCCAGGGTGAGGGCCTGAGTTGGGGGACGGCCAAGGGCTGGCAAACGCAACAGTCCCACCCCTCCTGCTACAGACAGTGCTGGCCAACCATAGCACACAGTCCCCAAGGCACAACGCTGCTCAGAATCCTCAACACAGTGTGCTTCCCGCACACACCACAAGGGCCCACGAAAGAAACAAAGGACCCACACCGTCCACGTGGCCCGCGGCTTCCACCTACAAGGTAGGAGCCCAGCATGATTCACCAGGGTGACTGCAGGGCTAGGCCGGACCGGGAACACAGATCGCTGGGCCTGAGGGCGCAGCCCTGGGGACCTAACCACCCACCTGCCATCGAGGCAACCCCAGTCACAGAGACGCCATGGGACCGCCCTCCACAGAGGTTCCAACAGCTGGGTTTTCAAAAGGAGGCTGGCAGACCTCTCCTGAGGTGCTTCTGGCTGGACTCAAACCAACAACCTTCTGGTGAGCAGCCGAGCGTGTTAACTGCTGACGCCTCCGGGGAATTTGTGGATGTAGAGTCACCAGGGAGCCAGCTAGGTGAAGAGCGCACGGCTCCAGGCAGGGAACATGCAGATGGGAGCTCCCGTGCTGAGGCTTTTTTGGCTTGTGTGGATCAATGTTTCTGGGTTGCCAGCTTCCTTAACTCAAAGTCTGGGATACGTGAGGCAAAAAGGAAACTCAGTGAACTCACCACCGTGATGACCCTTGGGTCCTGAGGATCCTACCTGGTGTGATTTCTTCTCTCCACAGAGTCTACTTATGTTTGTTTTCTATACAATGCTCGGGGTCTTGAGTTTGACTTAGCAGGAAAAATAGAGAAAAGTGTCCTTCTTCATCTTACCAGAAGCAGAAGTCCTTGAATCTTCCTCTATTTAAGCTGGTTTGAATGGATATCTGTTCCTTACAAAGAAATACATATGAAGAGTTTAAATTTAATTTTAAGGTAATGGGGAGCCAACGAAGATTTTAAAGCCAAAGGAGTTATCCAAGTTATGTCAGAATGCCTTATCTTAAAATGAAAAGGACATTTCAATAGAATTACTCAGTATTCCTGCCACAGTAGATTTGAGTCCTGCCATCCTGAGGAAGTATTTGCTTGGAAGAGCTTGTTGGTATCGCTGGGTTTCTGTGAACAAAGAAAAGGGCACCCACACCCACCTGGTTAGGAATATTTACTTCTTTCGGAATGGTGTCGGAGAACTTGGCAGCTTTGGAAGGACCGGTCTTGTAGAAGCTCTCACTTTCCCTGGATCTTGCATGTTTAATATGACTGGTTCTGAAAAAAGAAGCAAGATTACAAGTTGAGGTTGGAGTGGTGACATTAAACCCCACCTGTCTGTCTGGTAACAGGGCCCATTCTTTCAGGAATTGGGGAAGGTGCCCTCCTTCGCCTAAGATGACAATGGGCTGGCAGAGTTGGCTTGTTAATCACTATCCCCAAATCATTTAATAATCACACAAGAGCTCTGTAGTGCTCATACTCACTATATATGATTCATAAAGAGACTGAAAATTACTACAAACAATTGTTGTTGTTGTTACGTGTTGTTGAGTTGGACCCGACTCATAGTGACCCCTCCTTGGGTTTCTGAGGCAGTATCACTATGGCAGTTTAAAATGTTTGCTTGAGTTCACTAGAAAGCAGTATGTGGAAAATTATTTTTGACTATCTTCTACCCGACCTCATTAAAAAATAAAATCAAATGGCAAACAGATTATATTCTGTTCCTTTTCTTCACATTTCCAGTCAAGATGTCTTTAAGACTTAGTAAAAGCAATGGCTCAAATACATATTTTAGAAACTGTTCACTTCACCTGAAGCTAGTTTACCCAATAATTAGTTGCTTGGAGAGCAGTTCACCTAAAGTATTTAAATATGATTGAGTTGCATCTTAAACTTTGGAGAGTTTTTATGTATCTCTATCTCTATCTCTAGACAGATTTGCTTAGCGACACAAACACCTGGAGTTCCACCCTGGAGTCCTTTGCATGAGTGTATGCACCCTAAAATGAAAAATAAAATAAAAAACAAAGTAAAGCAAACCACAATGAAATCATACTGGTTATAAATGCACAATAAATTATTATAAAGTAAAATTACAAAAAATATGTTGATGTTAAATTGTGAAGAAAGAAACATTTTAGGCAATTTAATAAAAAAATTTCTTAATATGTTGAAACTTTGCCAAAATGGAAAAGGATAACTACAAGAATATAAAATAAATATAAGAAAATGCTGTGTATCTGATTGAAAAAAAATAATTACAAAGTAAAAATTAAGTCAGAAGTGTTTTGGGAATTGGTTTAAGAAATCTTCAGTTTGCCTACATGCATACATACATATATACATGTATACATACATATATATCTGTATATACATACATACCAAATGGAAGCCAAAGTACTCAAAAAGGTCAATTGTTTTGGGGTGAATAGATTGGGAGCCACTTGTACAAGAACAGTGAGTGTATTGTGGGAACAGTGATTAAGGTCGCTCTGGTGAGACAGTGCCTTCGTGGGTAGAAGGTAATAACAGTGCCTACTAGACCAAAGGCATCACTTGCCATCCCTAGCCCATGCTTCCAGGCTGCCCTTTTCCATCTTCACCAGGAAGTCTGTAACAATAATCTCTTGACATCCTGGAGAACGATAGGATACTGACTTACTAGTGAGCCTTGCAGCACACCACAAGCACAAGGACAGGAAACACAATCCAAGAAGTGTCTACATTTGTTTAACTGAATTGTATCATATATTCAACAGCAGTGTGAAAATGTATGAAATGTGGAGTCAGAAGATATGGGTTCAGAACCAAGAGTGACTATCATTTCCTGCATAACCTTGGATGAGCCATGTCTAAACCTAAGTGATACCACCCATTAAAGGGGATCAGATCAATTTTGATCAAATATGTGACAACTCTTTGTAAAATGTAAGTTCCTGATTAAATGGAATGGCGTGAGTTAAGTAAATACGTGTCTTACGCTTTTTTTTGATGAATGGGGCTCTCCCCTGTCAGCCTATAGAGGGCGTACTTGAAGTCAATAACACCTTGATTTTCGATGGTGAAGGTGGCACTTTTACGAGTGCCACAGATCAAAGCTCCAAAGTTGATGATGGTGGAAGGGCTGATGTTGTACTTGGAGAACACGGCATTCACAGAAAACTTAATGGGGATGCTGGCAATGATCTCACCTCCTTCTGCAATACTAGGCTCAATAATCTAGAAAGACAAGAAAGATTGGGAAGACACTGGGCACCAGCATGTCTCCAAAGCTTCCATGACTGTCTACTTCGTTCCCTCATTTCATCATTGACATGGAGCCAAATTCTTATTTCATTCTATCACTGCATCAATAATAATAATAATAATAATATCAACCATGTATAGAGAGCTTACTGTGTACCAGCCACGGATCATCACACACCACTCTCCCTTCCACTTTCAGTTCCCATTCATCTTTGCATCTGATGACTGAACTCAGCGACCTGGTCTCTCATGCTCCCCAAATACCTGGAGACCACGCTTCGTCTCTGGCTGTATTTCTGATGACACTGCCCACCTGATCCACCCTTGTCTGCCAGTTGGGATCAAACTCTGGTATGTCTTCTGTAGCTGCCACTTAGGCCAGCCCTCCCCCAAAAGCATGGGTAGACCATGTGACCTCCTTTAGGACAGGAGCCCCACCATCCTGGTACCAAGCCAGCCCTTGCCTTTGATTCTCTTACATGACAGCGCAGGACGGGCAGGTGCTCAATCGTCACTTCCTTTTTTGCACGAAACAACACCTGGATGTTTGTGGGCTTTTCCGCTGTGGTCAGTGAGCCCTTCTTGGGTTGGACTGAGATCATGGAATTTAAATTGGTCACTGACATCCCTAACGAGTCCACAGAAAAGCTGTCGGATAGGAATAAAAAGTTCATCTAAGTCATTATCCAGGGAACCCAAGACACTAGAGAGGAGACTCTTCAACCATTCCGTGTCCGCCATGCCTCTAGCGCTGTTTAACCACTATGCCTAACGGTGGGCCCTGTGTTTTTGTTCTATGACCATCCCCAGCTTAGCCAGCATTGACTGGGCCAGGGATTAGTGGTGCTTGAGACAAAGAGCCATCTCCAGGCTAATCTGTGGTGCGGAGGTATCCTTGCAGCAGATCTCTATCTAAGAGGGACACCTGATGCTGGATAATGACCAAGTAAACTAATTCACCTCTCCCTCAGGGAGTCTGAACGCAGTCACACAGAGGGAGCAGGGATGTGGAAGCCATGTGGTCCGAGGAAAGAAAGTGGGGAAATATGCAACAGAGGCTCTCGGACGGGGATCGTGGCCCTACGGCGAGGCGGGAAGCCACAGAGAGAAGCTGAGGTTGTGAAAGGCAGAGGGACTGGAAGGGGAGCCTGTGCCGAGGTGGGACACCTGCTGTGTCTGTGGGGATCTAGATGCTCCTCACTCTTCTGCGCATCCTGTCTACAAACCCAGCTGCCTGCTCTGACCTGCGGGTGGCGCTCATGCAACCTAAAAGAACAGCGCTAACATCCTAGTCACAATGCAAAACAAAGCTCACCAACGGACAAGAGTCCGTGCAACACAAACTCTAAAGTGACAGTGGCTTTCTTCTAGGTTTATTGAACATTTATTAAAATTACATTTTCATTGCTTCTAACTAAAGGTAGTAGTGAAGTGGGAGCTCTCTAGTTTTAGCATTCCTCTAGTTGAAATGAAACTAATATGAATATGCTAAGTCTCTCCAAGACCGCAGCGGGCAGTCCCTTTACTAAATCTGAATTCTGGGGGAAGGACAACTTTTCATAGAAACTGACAGGGCATTAGTGTGGGGGCACTGCTGCCAAGAGCAGAGTGACCTTGTCTGAGTGGCTGCCTTCCCCTCTCCACTACCCAAGCCTCCCTTTCCTGTTTGAGGAATCTCTCTTGTTCAGTGTTTTGTTTTTAATCTTAAGAGGTGTGTACAGACGGCTCCCTATCCTACCAGGCACTATTTGGACTCCTCTGTGATACAGTGGTTCTTAAAATGTTTATTTAAAAATATTGGAAAACTCTTCCTTCATATGAAATCTCATGCAGAAGATCAACTTATAAAACGTAAGAACCAGGGGGCAGGTGCAGAAAAGCTGAAGACAGGGCTCACGACCCCCAGTCTCTCCACCCCCTTCCCAGCCTCATCCCTCTGGGCTTCTCTCCACTAGCGGCCTCCCTGGGGCCCTGAAGTGGCCCCTGTAAAGTGGCAGAATTAAGAGCAGTGGGAAAACCTCTGCTCTCTTAGCAGTTAGAATTCCACTCATTTGAAGCCAAGGAAGACGAAAAGCAGAGATGGCTCTTATAACTTCCTCAAACGACTTCTTTACCCTCTCAAACGACACTCTTCCCCGTGAGGTGGGCGGACTCAGGTTACCTGAATATGATCTCGTATTTCCCACGGTTCTTCAGCTGCAGTGGCTGCTTCGCCTCCTCCAGGACTCGCACCGTCCCAAAATCGAGGCCTCCTTCAGCTCCTGCAGCGGGGTGAGTGGGCACGGGAGGGAAAAGCAGGGGCGTAAACCTGCTCTCTCACTGAAGTTCGCATGGAAAATCCATGGTGCAATTTCAGAGAGTTTATCTCCTGAAAAAACTATGCCTAGAAAAGTCTCTTGTAATTGGGTGCTGACCAACAACACACACGGCTCTGTTGCCCAGTTCAGTGGGGGCATCCTTTCGTTTACCCATCAGCTAAATCTCCCAGCATATTCACCACATAGTAAATGATAACTGTTAAGATAAAATTTATCCTGGTAAATATCTTCAAATATTTGGGACTTTATTACGGAAGTAGTGCATGAGGAGAAAGAATCTAGAGTTCTTGTGTATACTTCTCTCCATTCAGAAATAAACATTTATCTTCAATTCATTTAAAAAAAAAATAAAGTCCAGTATGTTTATGAATTTGGTATAAAGTATCTACTTTACAGAGTTGGGATATTACATATAAATATGTATTGTATCTAGAACTCTGGCAGTGGAGTGGCTAAGGCATTTGGCTGCTAACCAAAAGGTTGGCATTACTTAGCATTACGTCATGAGCATTTCCCCACATAATTAAAAACTCTTCATAAATGTGATCAAAAAGACTGCATGATATTCCATCACAGGGCTGTTCCATGACTTAAAATATTATTCCTATAATATTAATCCACTATTGTTAGATATTTATTTCCAATTTTCCATCATCATAGACAATGCTGTAATAAATAGTTTTACATATAACACTAATGACAGCTGAGCAAACATGTCACTCTAGCACTGAATCTTGCTGAGAAGACTCCTGTCAGGAAAAGGAGGGACAGCGCAGAACTGCATCCTAAAAGCGAACTCTGACCTTGGTGTTTGGGCGGTGTGGCAGGCAGGAAGCAGCCTCAAACCTGTCCACGTACTAATCCCTGGAATCTACGAACAGCTTACCTTCCATGGCGAAGGAGGATTAAGGTAGTAGATGAAATTAAGGCTGCTCAACAGCTGACCTCAAAATAGGGAGATTATCCATGTGGGCCCCCCAAAAAACCAAACTCACTGCCATTGAGTCGGATCTGACTCACGGTGACCCCTCCTTGGGTTTCTGAGGCAGTATCACTATAGAAGTAGATTGTGCAACCTTCCTTCTGAGGAATGGCTGGTGGGTTTGAACCGCCAGCCTTCTGGTTAGCAGTCAAATGCCTTAGGCACTATGCCACCAGAGCCCCAATGGCCCTTAAAATGGAAGAGGCAGGCAGAGGTGGGAGTATCAGAGAGATGGCAGAGTGAGAAGAAGTTGGCCTGAGGTTGCTGGCTTACGATAAGGAGGAAGGAACCACAAGCCAAGGAATGTAGGTGGTCTCTAGAAGCTGCAGAAGGCAAGGGGAGAGGTTGTCCCCTGGAGCAGGGAACGCAGCCTGGCCAGCACCTTGGTTTTAGCCCCGTAAGGCCCAAGTCCGCCTTCTGACCTCCAGCACTATCAGGTAACAAATATATGCTGTTTGAGGCCACTAAGTCTGCAGTCATTTGCTGTGGCAGTGATAGGAAACTGGGACTGGCAGGAAGAGCGGTGCGCGTGCTCCCATGATGGCTCTCAGATGAGCTCTGCAAGCTGACATGTGTGGGTGCTGCTTGCTGTCTCCAGTGAAGACAGAATGTTTTGTGGTAACATTGCTCACATCACCCTGGGCTTGCATTATCCTTTACAGAAGAACTTCTCCCCCCGACACACCACACACTGACAACACACTGGTCTTCATCTACACAGAACTTATAACGGTGAGCAACTGCCCTTTCCTTGAAGGGATAAACAGACCTTTGGGGAAGGTGATGTCCAAGGCGATGTCATAGGACTCTGCAAAGATCAGGATGTTTTCAATCTGAACAACGCCAACAAGATTGTCTGCATCTAAAACCTGTCGCAGTGAGAAAAGTTCTTCAGTAAAAGCAAGACCCGTGGCATCCAGCTTCTCTAGAGCTGTCCCCACTGTTTCCATTCCTGTTGGTGGAGGCCTGTCACTGTCACAAGGGACATCTGAACTGTGGTGTCCACAGTCAGTGCCACCGAACCACTGACTCTTGAGATTAACAAGAGGGAAATAAAGCATCGATTTGTCAAAGGCAAGAGCCGCTGGGCAGTGGGCATGGCTCTCCCACACCTGCCATCGGCCGCCAGCCTCTCTGTGGTAGTCTGAAGTTGAGAAATTAAGTCACCAACTCCCTAAGCTTGTGCTTTGGGTGCCAAGGGAAAATCTGCAGCTATCTCTAAACTCAACTTTTGACTCAGAATTCCCATTTTTCTCTCATCAAACATTTTGCCAATGTTCCAAAGAGCAAACTGGACTGACCTGAGTTTGACTCTTCTTCTGCTGCTCAGCCTCTGACAGAGACGGTCAGAAGAGATGGCAGCAGGAGGAAATGACAGAACAAAAAACTGGAATTATCAGCTCCTGAGTGTGTATCGTACCTTTCCTCTGATGGATTCCAAGCACCCTCACTTTCTTTTGCTTACCCCTCTGGGGGAGGTGGGTAGAGAGGATACAATCAAATTTTGTAACTGAGCAAAACAGGAAGGATGATTTTAAGAGTTACACTGATAAAATCAAACAAGTTCAGGGAGAGTTTCACAAAGAGATCAGAAAGCTAGGCATTTCGTGGGAGTAGATGTTGAAGGATTATCATCGAGGCAGAGAAACCTTAGAATATGCTGTGAGTGTGTGTGTGGGGGGGGGCAGGGGCAGCTGCTGAGGAGAGACTCTTAGTGCCTACTTTGTATAGAGCTGCTTTTTGTCTGGGACACACAGGGATGCCACATCAGTTGTTAAAATATGGGAATGTTTCTGCACCTATTGGTAAACGGTTGTCAAGACAACTTCTCTAAGCATCCCCTTGCTGTCTACTTCCCATCTCTATCACATGAACTTATGAACCTCCCATGTTTCAGCAACTGAAGGACGAAGCTGGCCCAGCTGGAGGACTCCAGGATCCAGGGGACATCAGTCATGTTGCCTGAGTCCATTATTATAGACCAGTACCTAAGCAGTTACCAAAAACTCTGACTATCATCCCAGGACTTCATACATATTTGTACATTGAATGACTATCAATCCCTGTTTTTAAATATCTGAAAGGTTGTTATGAGTAGTCGACAAGAGAGATTAGATCCACTGACTAGCCTAAAAAGGTACAAACAAGATCAATGCATATCAATTACAAGGAGAAAATCTAAACTCAACCCAAGGAATAATTAAGTCAGATTTGTTCAAAAAAAGATCAGGATACTCTGAGTGGTAGTAAGTTTTCTGTCCTTGGAGAAATTTGGATGACCTCTTGAATGTTGCGGAATCAATTCAAACATCAAAAATCAGTGACATTGGTTCATTCATTCAAAAGACTTTACTGAGTGCCTACTACGTATGGGTCTGTGCTGGACAATGTGGATATGATGGTGTAGTAGGTGAATGGTAGCCCCCCAGAAGCTATGTCTCTTTCATAACCCCCAGAACCTGTGAATGTGAGCTTATTAGGAAAAAATGGTCTTTGCAGATATAATTAAGGACCTTAAGATGAGATCATGCTGGCTTATCCAGGTGGACCTAAAGCCAATGACAAGAGTCTAAAGCCAATGACAAGTGTCGTTATAAGAGAAAGAAGATACAGACAGAAGGCAGGCACAGAGATTGGAGGATTCCATCACAAGCCAAGGAGCCTGGAGCCAACACAAGCTGGAAGAGGCAAGGAGAGATTCCTCCCCTAGAGCTGCAGAGGGGGTGGCCCTGGTGACACCTTGAATTTGGACTTCTGGCCTCCAGAACTATGAGAGAATAAATATGTGTTGTTTTAAGCCACCCAGTTTGTGAGAATGTGTTATAGCAGCCACAGGGAATAGAGATGGTGAAGGAGTCAGGGGAGATCCTGTTCTCCTGGTGTCCACATCAATAAAGAAAGAAACATTCCTTTCAGAAAGGGATAGGTGCTCTGAAGAATGGAAAACAGAGAGAGTGACTGCAAATGACAGAGGACTCCAGAGATGGGGTGGTTAGTGGCAGCCCCAGCTGAAGTGGTGACGTTTAGGGACCTCTAAAACAGGAGCCAACTCCCCACTGGGCCCAGAGACAGCACTCCTAGTAGAGGTTTAGCAAGGCAAGGGACTAAGGGAGGGAAGAGCCAAAAGACAACAGTGTTATGGGAGCCTGCAAGTGAGGGTGGAGGCAGGTGTGGCTATAAAGGCAGACAGAGCCTGAGAGGCAGTGAGACCATGAGCTCTTACTACGATGGGAGGCCAGCAAGTGCTTCACGAAGGAGAGTGAGCTGATCTGACTGACATTTAAAAGACCCTTCCAGACATTTGTGGGGAAGAGGAAGAGGGAACCCGGTCAGGAGACCTCTGCAGAAGTCCAGGTGAGAGATGCTACTGGCCTGGATGAGGGTGGTCGCAGTGTAGACCGAGAAGGGACGGAAGGAGATACATTTTGGAGGCAGGATTGACAAGAGTTGTTGGAGAAGAGGCACTGAGGAAAAAGGGGGAATCAAGGGTGATTTCCACATGTCTGTCAGGAACAGCCAGTGGAAAGTGGAGACGTTTACTCAGATAGGGGAGGTGAGGGGTGGTGGTGACTGGGTTTATTGTTGTTGTGGTTGTTATGTGCCATCGAGTTAGACCCGACTCACAGCGACCCCCTCCTTCAGTTTCCAAAGCAGTATCACTACGGAAGTAGATTGCCCCATCTTCCTTCCGAGGAGTGGCTGGTGGGTTTGAACCACCAGCCTTCTGGTTAGCAGTCAAGTACCTTAGGCACTATGCTACCAGAGCTCCTGACTGGGTTTGTTGTTGTTGTTGTTGTTATGTGCCGTCAAGTCGGCCCTGACTCATAGCGACCCCTCCTTGGGTTTCCGAGGCAGTATCACTACGGAAGTAGGATTGCCCAACCTTCCTTCCGAGGAGTGGCTGGTGGGTTTGAACCACCAGCCTTCTGGTTAGCAGTCAAGTGCTTTAGCCACTATGCTACCAGAGCTCCTCCTTGACTGGGTTTAGGGGCATGAAATCAAGAATCTAGTGTTTACTTAAGGAGCTCTGGTGGTGCAGTGCTGAAGGCATTTGACTGCTAACCAGAAGGTTGGCGGTTCAAACCAGCACTCATCCATCCATCCATCCATCCTTCCACCCATCCACCCACCCACTCATTCATTCATTCTACATTTATTGAGTGCTTCTGTTCTTGGCAAACCAACCGTGAACAACACAGACATGGTCACTGCCTCTGAGGTGCTCACAGTCTTATGAAGAAAAAGATATTGTGGGCCGAAGGCTATGAAACAGGGAGCAGCGGAGAGTGTGGAGCAAGGAGTGCTGCCTCAGTGAGTGTGTGTGTGTTGGTATGTGTGTGTGTGTGTGTTGGTGTGTGTGTGATGACAGCATCTGGGACGAGTGGGATGGAGGCCTCACCTCCAGCCTAATAGCCTTCTTGATGGTGACGGGCTTGGAGGGCTGGAAGTGCACGTGCAAGCTGTAGTCAGACTTGGGGGGGATAGTCCCTTGCATCATGGACACAGTGAAGTCATCACCCAGGTGCTCCAGGCTAGAGATCCGCCAGGCCACAGGCAGGAGCGTGATGTTGTGCAGGACGACCACCTGGGATTCTTTTCTACAGACACCAAAAGAAACTTTGTCAGTCACAACTAAGCTTTTAACTTAAAAAAATGGCAATTTCTCTTTTGTGTGTTTCTCTGTTGAAAATTTCTTAACCTGTCTTTCTTTGCTTGTTTTATTTAGGTCTTTAAGCTTATAGGGCTGGGCTAATTTGTATGATTTTTAATTTTTTTCCTCCTATAAGTTAGCCCAAATTAGCCCAAGGTTAATGCTATAACTTTAAACTTAGAGCAAAGTCAGGAGAATTCCTCTTTCCCAGAGTCAACAACTATTTCTATTTTGCCCTCCTGGCTTTGGGTTCAAATTCACATTCTCTTTCTCTCTCTTATATATCTGCATTATTTTTTTCAGAACCATTTGAAAGTAAATTGGAGCCATTATGCTCTTTTACCTTTAAATATTTCAGTCCACATTAGTTCTTAGGAATAAGAAGAAGAACCTTTATCAAACTCAGGAAATTTAACATCGATGCAATATTATTGTCAATTACAAATATGGTAATATGCTAGTATATTACAGTGCTTGATGTGATTCCACAGTTTACTGAAGGTCTGTTTGTTAAAACAATTTTTTTTTTTTCCCCTGGGTCATAAAGGGATCATTTGATGGCCCCAAACTCACAGATTTAGTGACAAAATTTGGGCTATTGCTCAGACCAGCTGCCTTACAGCCACAGTAGCCTCCTATATGGAACTACCTGTGGCCAATGAGAAAAAACACTTTTGCTACTTCAGTTGTTATTACTCTCTAGTCAGTGCTCATCAGGGAAGGGGGTCTGCTGGTGATGATGCAAGATCTGGGAAAAGAGACCCTTCTGTGGATCGGGACTCTCTGTGCTGCCTGCAACTGCCCGTGAGTGACCAATCCACCCTTTGGCCTGGAGATCTTGGATTCGTCACTCGCTGGAGGCAACAGCCAGTATACTGCCTGCCAACCTTGAGCTCGTCAGCCCCTACAGCTGTGTGAGTCGGGAAATGCCTCCAGCTTGACGTTTGATCCAAGAACTTGGGACTTGCCAGCTTCTCTAAGTGTGTGAATCATTTTCCTAAGACAAATTTCTCTTTCTCTATATAGAAGCTTTACTGACTTTGTTTCTCTAGAGAACCCAGTCTAACACAATGGGCTGAGAAATTGCCCACACAGGATTTTCACTGCTAAAATCTGGAAAGTCCTAAGAAAACTAGGATGAATTGGTTGTTCTAAAACTAAAAGACCTCTGAATCCCTTCCTAGTCCTGGCCTTTGGTGAATTTCCCAGAACTCTGACCTGTGCAGCAAAAGCCGGTCAAAATGCAATTGCTTGCGGTCCAGCTCCAGTTCAGGGCGGATGCCCTGGCAGTGTAATTTAAAGATGGCTGGCTCTGGGTTCTCTTTGATGCAGCAGACAATGCTGTCTTCAAAGATGCCAACTGCAGTGGGGTAGGCCCACACGGTTAGCACCTAATGGAAGAGTCAAAAGAAAGTATGTTTACATCAAAGATGACAAGGCCCCAGCTTTCACAATAAGGCCCGGCACCAGTAGGCTTCTTGCCATGCAATTGTACCTGCTTCTCATCAGGTTTAAGAATCATGGTGGTAGGCTCCAAGAAGTAAGTGTTTGCTCTGACATCATGCTGAAAGCAGAAGTGCACCTCCACGAGCATCGGGGAATCGTTCAGGATCGTCAGTGTCTCCATGTTGCCCGGGAAGATGGATGACTTGTACCTGGACATGAGCGAAAACGGAGATGGAGTTGTGAGGATTGAGTGCAAATCAGGTAGAAAAGGAGATGGCAAAGTGAAAGCAATTCAGAGGGACAGTGTGGTTAAACTGAGGCAGCAGCTCAGGGGTTAAGAACACAGCTTTACAGTTGTGCAGACTTGCACCTGACTGTACTGCAGCGGCCCCTGCTGTGCGGGCCCTCCCTCCCCCGCATCACTGGGGGACGCTCCTTCGGTCCCTCGCTACACTCCAACCACAGTGGAAATTCTTTATCTTTCCCCATAAATGGCTAGTGAATGGACGAGTGAGTGTGGAACAGATGCATGAATGGACAAATGAACTCGCTCAGGGTCCCATAGCTATAAAGCTTGATTTAGATTTGTTTATGCTTTTGAACTCCTCAGTGCACGCAGGAAGGAAAGGATGGAAGGGCATGCATACACCTTTTCTCCAACACACAAACATGTACACTCATATGTACACCTTTCCTAGTGCAAGGCAGCACTGGGATGAGGCTCTGGACTTGGACCCATAATAAGCAATAAGTATTTATTTACTCTTATTTGTGTTGTCATCATTTTTATAGACTTTTGGAGCAGGCAAGGAGGGACATGTAGGAGGGACAGGTCTCTTTGTTTAATTTTGAGGCCCAGAGAAAGGAACCACTTGCCAAGGGTCACGCAGTTCTGAATACCTGAGAAGGGGACAGAACCCAGCTCTCCTACTTGGTGTTTCAGGGCTAACAGGCAGCATTTGTAAAAATTAAGTCTATGAGGAGACCCGGCATATTATTCATGAGCTCAACCCAGGAGTGTTAAAGCTGCTGTGGTAGAATATAGCACTTACTTATCTCTTGATTTTCCACAAAGCAGTGGCCCAAAGTAAAACCTGTCCATGCTCATAACAAACTTCTTGAAGACGACCTCATCTGCCTTTATGTCCTTCTTCCGCTGAGGGAATACCACTCTAAACATAGGGTAGACAGGGGTGAGGAGAAGCTGGGTGAATGAAAGTTCAATGGCATGATTGGATGTTCACTTGAGGGTCCATGTGTCTGGAGACAAAGTGGCTGATTTGAGGACCTGGTTGAACCTCTATTTCTCTCACTGAGTGAGGCTAGTACAGTGTGAATTTAAGAAAAAGATTCCCAGTAGTATCTTCCATAACAAAGGGCAAAAGATAGAGCTGAGTTGCACTTCCTATTCTAGTGCTCCCAGCTAGAAAATTCCTTACAGAAAACTGGCTCTGGTAGATATCAACTAGTCTTTGAGTTTCATGGTCAAATGTGGCTCCTTGGTGAGAACCATAACCATGCTTCTCTAGGTGGACAAGTTACAAAAGGCCCCTTCCTCTGGGCAGCGTCAGCCTCACCAGCTTGTCCAGCCAAGTGCTTTTATGAGCATGTGAGCTGCAGAGTGGTTGTCACTCATTAGCCTGGAAAGGAGCTCACCTATATATTCATAGTATAGCCACTGCCATGGAGTCAATTCCTCACTGGGTTTCCAAGGATGTACATCTTTATGGCAGTACATTGCCTCATCATTCTTTCATGCAGCAGCTGGTGGGTTTGAACCACCAACATTCTGGTTAGCAGACAAATGTCTTACCCACTGCGCCACCAGAGTTCCTTATTCACAGTATAGGATAAGAATTTCTATAGTAAATACAAAAATGGTGCAAATTTGCTTACTACTGGAAAAACCAAACTAACTTGTCCGAGGAAGACTTTTTTCCTTTCTTTTCACACCTAGTGCTATGGATTGAATTGTATCCCACTGTCCCACCCCCAAAGATATGTTGAAGTCCTAAACCCTAACACCTGTGAACATTCCTGGTAACATGACCTTGTTAGAAAATAGGGTTTTTGAAGACTTTATCCATTAGGTTAACATGAGGTCATACGAGAGTAAGGTAGGTCCTTATTCTATCTGAGTGGTATCCTTATAAAAGAAGAACCAAAACCAAACCAAACCCACTGCCACCAAGTCGATTCTGACTCACAGAGAAACAACAGAGGAAGGATGGCCATGTTAAGATGTATCTACAAGCCAAAGTACATCTGGGGCTACCAGGAGGAGGGACAGACAAGAAAGGACCTTCCCCTAGTACCTCCAGAAGAAGCATGGCCCAGCCAACAGGTGATTCCAACTTCTAGCCTCCAGAACCATCAGCCAGTCAAGTTCTGTCCTTATAAACTACCCAGTTTATGGTATTTCATTGCTGTAGCCCTAAGAAACTAACACACCTATTAACATTCTTTTTACCTTAATCTGCAAATGTTATGTGGTGTCATGTCATTCCTGCAGCTCTAAGCCAATGTCCAAGGCACTGAAGCCTAAAACAAGAGGGTCCGACACGCTGTCCCTTTTCCACGTTATTATTAAGAGCCATCTTATTCAAAGTACCATGGAGGAAATGAAAATGTATCTGCCATTTTTTTTTCTTTCAAAAATAAAATATACTTACTTTGGATCTTGGCAAATGTATGGGTAAGTGCAGACACCTCGGCAATAGAGCTGGTACTGGCGGCGAGTTCCGAGGATCTCAAAGGTAAACGTTTGGTCAAAGTTCCCGAGATCAGTCGAAGAGAAGTGCACTCGCAAAGCCACATCACTGTTGGCTGGCACAATCCAACGGAAATGATTCAGCCTGCATAGGACCATGTAGGCTTTTAAAATGAGAATGCTTCCTTCTGGCCAAGAGAAGACTTCAGAGTTGCCTGGGAGAAGCCCTGTTTTGCTGATGTTAGCATGGGCAGCCCATAGGGCCTCACAAGCAGGACAGCCCTATTCCTACCTGGTGCTGTGACAATCACAGCTCTGCTCTGGGCTCCAGTATCCCCTCCCTGGCTTCTTAGAGACTCACCTGGTGATTTTTTCTTGGGAGTGCTGCCCAGTCAAGTTGTTCTGGTCTAAGTCCGACAGGGGGGCAATGGCTCCAGCAGGTCCCCCAGCAAGGCCCTTCCTGTTAATGGCTATGCGCCGTTTGTCCTTCTGAGACTCCCGAGGCTGTTCCGGTTTTTCTTTCGGTTTCTGTTTACTCCCCTTCGATGGGGTGGTCTGGTCCTCTTGGGCCTTAATTAAAAACCAGCACACGGTCATAACCACACATGGACAGAAAACCCGGATGCATACCACACCTGCAGTGGCTGCTGCCTGGAGCAGAGCAGGGCCCAGCCTCACGTGCAGCTGACAAACCTGCTGTGTTCCTTGCTTCCTGTTCCCTGAGAAGCAGGACAAATCCCTGAGAACCCTTACAACGGCACCAAAGCCAGTGAGGCTTCAAGCTTTCTTAGCACTGCTAGGCCCTTTGACCCCGCTGCTCACTTTCCAACATTCTGCTGACTTAGTCTATTTGCCACCATCTCCTCTCCCCTTCCCTCTGTCCCTCCCTCCTTAGGGTTTATACTTTTCTCTCTTTTTTTTAATTCCTTATTGTTTCAGTCTGTCACGATTAATAAAAAGTTCCCACTCACTAACATTCTCTGATCAATTTCTTTTTTAAAAAAAACTTTTAATTTATTTATCATTTTCCAACTTTTTATTTCAGAGAACTATCAAAGTTGAAGGCACAGTACAATGAACATGGAATTGTTAACGCTAGCCTTATCTGTGTTATCTATCACTTTTCCTTCTGAACCATGGAAAGTATGTTGTAGACATTGTGATACTTTACCCCTAAATACCTTAGCCTCTATATCTTTCTAAGACAGTCATGCATGTTACACCATAACATCATTATCACACCTAAGAAAAGCAACAGTAATTTAATAATGTGTCCTAGCACAGTCCCTATGAACAATTTCCTATTTATCTCAGCTATGATCTGGTAGCATAGTGCTTAAGGCACCTGACTGCTAACCAGAAGGCTGGCGGTTCAAACCCACCAGCCGCTCCTTGGAAGGAAGTTTGGGCAATCTACTTCCGTAGTGATACTGCTTCAGAAACCCAAGGAGGGGTCTCTATGAGTCAAGGCCGACTCGATGGCACATAACAACAACATGATGGGCAATCTACTTCCGGAGTGATACTGCCTCAGAAACCCAAGGAAGGGTCCCTATGAGGTGGGTCCGACTCAACGGCACATAACAACAACAACAACAAATGTCTTTAAAAACCAAAAAAACCAAACCCACTGCCATCGAGTTGGATCTGACTCATCGCGACCCCTCCTTGGGTTTCCAAGGCAGTTGTTGTTGTTGTTGTTAATGTGCCGTCGAGTCAACTCCAACTCATAGCGACCCCTCCTTGGGTTTCCGAGGCAGTATCACTACGGAAGTAGATGGCCCAACCTTCCTTCCGAGGAGTGGCTGATGGATTTGAACCACCAGCCTTCTGGTTAGCAGTCAAATGCCTTAGGCACTATGCCACCAGAGCTCCCCAGCTATGTCTTTACTAGCCATTTTTTCCATATAAATATCTAATTAAGTTTTCAATATGTGTGTGTGTATACAATACACATATTGTTGTTGTTAGATTTCTTTAATACCTTTTAATCTAGAGCTTTCTTCCCTATCACACTGACTTTTTAGAGATCAGCTCTGTTTTCTTGCAGAACACCTAAATTGTTCTGACTGTTTTCACAGTGTCATTTAACTTATTCTTTATTCCCTGTAAACTGAAAGTTAGGCTTAAAACCTTGACTAGATTCACAGGTGCCTTGTGCACTTCCTCCTCCATCATAGCAGGGGATAGATGATGTCAGGATGGCCTACTGTTACTGATGCAAAGTATGTCCACAGGAGCGTGGTGCCCTGAGACCCCTCTGTGGTTGAATACATTCTCCCGTTTGCAGCTAGCAAATCAGGTGGGGGATGGAGCCCTGGCTCTGTGTGACCGTCTTCTTCACAGCCTCTCACCTACTGCTTTGTGCATTTGGTGGCCCCTGATCAATGATTTCAAGTCTTGTCGTTCGGTGCTGTTGAGTCATCTCTGACTCATAGCAACCCTACATACAGCAGAACGAAACACTGTCCGGTCCTGCGCCAGCCTCACGATCCTTTTTTTTTAAATTTTTATTTTTATTGTGATTTGGGTGAAAATTTACAGAGCAAATACACTTTCCATACAGCAGATCACATGCACTTTGTCTCATGACATTGACCACTATTTAGCACAATGCAACAGTTCCTCTCCTACTTCCTCCTGATAGGTACCGCTTCCCTGTGTCCATCCCTCCATGCACTCCTACCCCCTGAGCTGTCTCCCTGTGCCTGAGCAGCCCTTCTTTCTCTCTTACTTGTTCTCTCCAAGGAGTGTATCTACCTCAGATAAATGCTCAACTAGTATGCCTGTCTACTGCTTGGCTGGAAGCTACAGGTGTGTGTTCAATTCCAGAGCTGAAGGACAGCTAGGGGCCATAGTCTCAGTGGTTCCACCAGGCTCCATCGGGCTTTTTTCCTCGCTTTTTTTTTTTTCAAATGATTTTGAGTTTTGTTCCACATTGTTCTCCCTCTCTATCCAGGATCTCCTACAAAGATCCTCTTCCAAGTGGTTGACAGTAGTAGCCGAGCACCATCTATTTCTGCTGGTCTCATAGTCGTATAAGCCTCACAATCCTTGCTATACCTGAGCCCATTGCTGCAGTCACTGTGTCAATCCATCCTTCTGATAACATGACCAAAGTAGGTGAGATGAAGTCTGGCCATTCTCGCTTCCAAGAAGCATTCTGGCTGTACCTCCCCCAGGACAGATTTGTTAGTTCTTTCAGCAGTCCATGGTACTTTTAGCACTCTTCACCAGCACCACAACTCAAAAGCATCGACTCTTCTTTGGTCTTCTTTATTCATTGTCCAGCTCTCACATGCATATGTGGTTGACTGAAAATATCATGGCTTGAGTTAGGTGCACCTTAGTCCTCAAGGAGACATCTTTGCTCTTCAACACTTGAAAGAGGTCTTTTGCAGCTGATTTGCCCAGCGCTATACGTTGTCTGATATCTTAACTGCTGCTTCCATTGGCATCAACTGTAGAACCAAATAATATGAAGTCTTTGACAACTTCAATCTTTTCTCCATTTATCGTGATGCTGCTTACAAGTCCAGTTGTGAGGATTTTTGTTTTCTTACATTGAGGTATAATCCATACTGCAGACTGTATTCGTCAATCTTCATCAGTAAGTGCTTCAAGTCATCCTCACTCTCAGCAAGCAGACTCGGAAGAAGGAAGAGGCCATCCACTTCTCAAAGATTTGGCCAGGGAAAAATCTTACAAACAACAGAAAAACATCACCAGAGCTCCTCTGATCTCAAGTAGGGGTAACAAACAGTGCTTTCTTAATCTAATCATTCTTTAATTCTAGTTGCTATTCTTCCCTTGTCAACTTGTGTTCCTCCTAAAATGATGAGTCAAAGAATTGCCTTCCTTTTAATGGCCAAACTTCAGAATAAGAAGTTGGCTTCACAGTCATCTCCTATGGAGACAATTTTTCTTCTTTATCTTTTTTATTTGGAATTTCACCACGGACCCCTTGTGCTGGTATGGCAGGTCAGCTGATGCTGCTGACCTCACATGTTAATTTTCCTACTTAGTTGTCAATCAAAATTTCTAGTACTCTTTGCCACCTCACTGGGCAGTGGGCAGGGCCTACAGCTGATTGTATTTTCTCTCTCTGCTGATGTGCATGGTTTGCAGGAAACTGTGCAGAAAAATCCAAATTTAGTCCACCATTATGGGAATAAAAAGCCCCTCTATAACTTTTAATATACATACTTTCTGCGTAGAATTGCAACCCAATCTATTTATTCTTTGCAATTTATTCTATTAATTTTATCTATATTTCCTTCTATTTTTATATGATTTAAAAATATCTCTGATCCAGCTGGAATTTATTTTACATATTCTATAAGGAGAGGAGGTAAAAAAATAACTTTACCCAAAATGCCCAATCTTCTCATCAGAGTGTCTTCAACAGTCTTTCCTTTCTTGAGTGCTGTGTGTTCCCTTACCTTGTGTCTGATGGTCCTGCCGCACTGTTTGAATGACCTTAGCTTCGGTGAACATTTTAGGAGCTCTGGTAGCGCAGTGCCTAAGGAATTTGACTGCTAACCAGGAGGCTGGCAGTTCAAACCCACCAGCCACCCCTTAGAAGGGAGGCTGGGCAATCTACTTTTGTAGTGATACCGCCTCAGAAACCCAAAGAGAGGGCACTATGAGTGGGATCTGACTCGAAGGCAGTGCATTTGGCTTTTTTTTTTTTTTTTCCGTCCGTAAACATTTCAGTATCTTTTCAAAAGAGCTAGCTTTGCTTATTACTTCCTTGCAGATGAACCTCAAAGTAATTTGCTAAGATCCCTAAGTTGACCCATGGGGATCAGAAAGGTTGATAAATGAGTCAGTCTTTCTAAGTCTCTCCTGGGAAGAGTAGGACAAGCCACTGGCAGGGGAGGTGCAGCCCGGGGAGCTCCTGCAGGGCCCTCAGGCGGGACCTCCAGGTCCAGGGAAGGTCTGGGAAAACCTACCTCTGTGAGCACGAGGCCGACCCTCATCCAGACGGTTTGGTCCTGTGGGGGGAAGCCCGCCCTTCTGCCCGCCCGAAGGCCAGCAAGGCCAGGAGAACCAGCCACTGGCTGGCACTTTACCTTCATGAGGACTGTGGAGGTTAAGAACTCTGCTTCTGCCTCCGCCTCTTTTTTCTCATCCATCATGTAGAGCTCCTCCGATTGTGGGATCACGAAAACGAAATGCTTCAGGATGTCTGTTGGAGCCAAAGGCAGGCGCTTCACGGGGTAGGGGACTATTGAGAACAAGGTGGGAGGAGGGATGGGCGGTCCAGAGGAACCCAGACCCAAGAGATCTAGGATCTAAAGGAGAAGGCCAGCGTTAATTTTCTGTGTGAGGGAGGGCACTGGATGGTGCAGAGCTCCCCCAACCTCTCCCCTCAGGGTTCCTGGAAGATGCCACTGCACAGAGATGTCTCAGGGAGGTGTGATGGACCTCTGACATAGCTCTGCAGTCTAGACTCCCACCCCCGGGGCCAGGCGGGGCGCTCCTGCTGTGGGTTCCCCATGCCTCTCTTATTAAAGCATTTGTCACATTTTATTGTGACTGTTTACTCGCCTGTCTTTGCAAGTGGCCATTCTGTCCTAAACTCCATTAGGACAGAAACCCAGTCGATAAAACACATGGCCTAGCACATAGTAGGCACTCAACAGAACTTCACTTAAGGAGACACCAGCTCTTAAGATGCTGGTGTCTATAATGTAGAGTTGTTCCTCTAGTTTCAGTTTCCATGTTACATTTTCTTTCTTCTTTAAATGTGCTTTCCTTCCAGAGGTAAAAGAAAGTTCAGACTGGACTAGGTCAAAAACGGTAAAGAAAAAAAGAAAATGTTCTAGGGATGGGATACGAGGTGGGTGTAAAGAGAGGACTCAGAAGGAATCCTGATAGAGAGAAGGTTCATTGCTACAACATTACCCCATCCTGCCCTGACACACAACAAAAGGGTGTTCTTCAGAGCATGTGGCCAGAGACTCATAACAACTTCCTTCCCAGCTGTTAAGACCTTCTAAACAAGCAGGCAATCCCTAGAATTAATTGCAGTCACCCCAACAGTAAATGCAACAGCCCACGTGAGTGCCCATTCTGTGGACCACATGGCCTCTAGGCTAAGCAGGTAATGATCTTCATTTAGTCCTGGGCTTCTGAAGTGAGACTCGTGTGGTGGGTCAGGCAGCTCAACACATTTCCTGATTAACGTGTGGCTCAAGTCAACTCCCAGGGTTTGGAATGTCAGTGAGGAAGGGGATGAGTAATTTGTACCCATTATTAAATCACCAGAGCCAGGGAGGTCTTCAAACAACAGTCTAACCTATGGTCTGGGATGTGGAGAGTATAAAACAAGACAACAAGATGCTGTGTCTGTGACACTTGAGTACTGTTAAAAAGCAAAACAGAAAACAAAGTGGGAAGCTGCGCTCAGTTGTAGAATTTTTTTAGAAACCACATTATGAAAAAAAATCATGATCACAATGATTGCTTATATAAGGCTGGTCTGAGGCAAACTCATGAAATGAGTGGAGTCTGTGTGTTCTCAAATTACCCTCCCCTCTGCGGCCCTACCCTTGGACCACTAGGGCAACACTATTATCAGGCCACATCAAGGTCTGTCCTCTTCAGTGGTTACCCTTGTTCTTCCATCAACCCTTACTTGCCAGGTATCCTACCCTCTCAGGCTCTATTCCCTACTTGGTAACGCTGCACCTAGTTCTGAGAAACTAAAGCAGGGGTCAGCTCATTGTGGCCCAAGGCCAAATCTGGCCTGCTCTTGTAAATAACATCTTACTGGAATATAGCCATACTTATTTGTTTGTCTATTGTTTATGGTTGCTCTTACCCTACAAAGGCAGAGCTGAGTAGATGCAACAGAGACTATGATTTGCAGTTTAAAATATTCTCAACTGGCCCTTTCTAGAAAAAGGACAAAAGGATAAAATAACACTGCCTTCCAAACTACTGCCTTCCAAACTACTGCCTTCCAAACTACTGACTTTTGGGCATGCAATCCTTTTGTTTATTGGAACAAAAAGTTACCTAACAGTATAATTTCTGTCACCATGGGAGACACATGGGAAAACAGTTTTACAGAACGTGAGTCTCTTGCTTCATCCCAATGCACACCAAACTGCCACCCCACAGTCCTAGTACTGCCAATATTAAAAATCAAACACACAGGAGGTTTCTTATGAGGTTAGATGGAATAATCGAGGTCTGTGGAACTTCCTGTGGTGTCCTGTCAGGTAGAAAAAGGTCTCTTTAGCTATGCTGTCTTACATTGAAGGTGGCATCAAAGGTTAACAGAACTAGAGGGAATGGGGATCCTATGTAGAAAGAAACACTTTTATAACAAACACAGCACCTGTGACCCGGTTTGTCACCTGTCCACCCTGGACAAGAGGTTTGTACCTGATCTCTTTTGGGAAGCTTGTCATTCTCCAGGGCCTGCTTCCAACCACAGCCTTCAAAGTCCGGAGTCTGGACGTTCAGGAACGGCACACCTAAGTCCTTCTTGCCCTCGTGGTCTTCCTCCCCTCCCCCCTCGCCCCCGTCACTGCGCTCCTCCAGGGCCCGAAGCTTCTCCAGACGCTCCCGCTCAGCCTTCTCCCGCTCCAGGCGCTCCTTCTCCGCCCGCTCCTTCTCCAGGCGCTCCCTCTCCCGGTCCTTCCTGCCTCTGCGCCCGCCCGAAGGGACCTGGCGCTGGTCATCCAGCTCATGAGGCACCTCCTCCGTCCCTATGTGAGGCAGCTGAATTCCCAGCTTCCGGTCCCAATACGTGAGCATGTTCTGGACATCCTTTAAACTCATCTCATAGCTCTTGAACCTGTGGGCCAACTGCTTGTCAGTGTCCTTCTGTAGGGAGTCCCCTTCACTTTCCTCTTCCTGGATAAGAGGAAACCCAAGGAAACTGACATCCGTCACTTGGTTCTTTTTTTTCTTGTTTGATTCTTCCTTCTCAGACTGTCCTTGCTCCCTGACGGATACTTTCCTCTCTATCGCCTCCATCTTCATCTCTAGTTTGGAAAGAGGAAGAACCTAGAAGGCGAAACACATCAAACAGCTCTTTCCAGGAGAGGAAACGGAATAGGGAAGGGGCATGAGGCCATCCTGGGTCATAAGAAGGCTTCATAGGGTTCCGAGCACCTCTTACGCACACTAGGGTTGTGGCTGAGAATCAGTTTGGGAGCTTTTATCAAAATATCCATCTTACAAAAAGATACTTCTGTTATAGAGCAGCTGAGGTCTGGCCTTGTACATTTTGAGACATTGCATGGGTGACTTGGACGTGCACTCTCAGGTGAGAGCCTCATTCTGAAGGATCAAGAGGAAAGATGACAAACACGGATCATTTTGGGAGCTCTGGTGGCATACTGCTTAAGGCATCTGACTACTACCCAGAGGGCTAGTAGTTCAAACGCACCAGCCACTCCTTGGAAGGAAGACTAGGAAACCTACTTCCATAATGATACTGCCTTGGAAACCCAAGGAGGGGTTGCTATGAGTCTAACTGACTCGATGGCAGTGAGTTCAGGTGCCTTGCAACTGGCTAGAGTACAGTGGTCCAACCTCACTGCACCTACCTGTGTGGGAACTTCCCCTCTCTCAGCTCAATTGAATAACAGGGGTAGTTCTATTAGTAACTATCCCAGAGAATGGAAGATGAAATGTATAAACACATCAAATGCTTACAACAGGGCCGGCCACAGAGTAAAAGTTCCATTAGTGTTAAGTCATGAAAGTTTCACAGGTTATGCACATAACAGGGGTCGCTGGGAACAAACTGTAGTTAATTAGAATCAGGCCATATTTCAGGCTTTTATATGTATATATTTATTCAGTGAGCTGGAGTCAGCAGGATACATGAAGAAATTAACTTCATTCTTTTTCTTACTGCTCATTTCAACTCACTTGGTGGGGTCTGATTTTCCTCTCCTCTGGATAAAATTCTCAGGTAGACGCTATAGCTTTTTGGGTCATTCTTTGATAACACGAAGTTCACTTCATTCTCTTGATCACAAAGCACCGGTACAGCCCAACATCAACTCAAACTTTCTCCCCCTGTGACAGCTCTTCGCCTCCCTAAGTTCAGGCCTGCTTCAGACTTGGAGGTGTGAGTGATGGGGTGGGACAAGGTTGCCTTTTCCCTTACCTCACTCCCCCTTCTCCTATTCAACCTTATCTTCTCTACCATAGCCTGGAGAGGCAGCTGACATGCCAGTGCTAGACAAACAGGGACCTATCACCTTACTTCAGCTTGTAGTGGGGAGGGGTTTGGCTCCTACTGCATTGTCCTCAGCTTGCAAGACACTAAGCCACTGCGACATACTGAAAGTTCTGTCTGGACATCTTATTCCCTGTAGAAGTGGATTTTACATAGAGGGAGGGACCTGGTGAGGGGAGGACTTATGTTTGGAAGATTATGGAAGTCAAGCAGAGAGCAGCTGAGGTCAGAGCAATTTCAAAAACTAAAAACAAACTCACTGCCACTGAGTCGATTCTGAGTCATAGTGACCCCCTTTGGGTTTCCAAGGTGGTAAATCTTTACGGAATGAGATTGCCCAGTCTTCCTTCTATGCAGTGGCTGGTGGGTTTGAACCACCAGCCTTCTGGTTAGCAGTCAAATAACGTCAGCTGAGAGTAAAGCAGAGGAATCCCACAAGCTTGTGCTTCAACGTTCCAACAGATTACCAATGGGTCCAATGATGAAGTCAGTGGGCAGAATTTGGGGTTAACTGAGCTCTGGTGGTGTAGTGTTTAAGGCATTTGGCTGTTAACCAGAAGGTCAGCAGTTCAAACCTGTGGTAGTTAAGGTTATGTGTCAACTTGCCTGGGCAGCTGGATATAGTTATTCCCCATGGTGAGACTGGTAACCAGCTCCATGGTGGAATCTACTGGGGCAGCTGAGTAGCTGCCTTAGGGGTGTGGTCTGCTTCCAGTATATAAGAAGTACCAAGAAAGGTATGATGCTTTTGGCACACTTGGACCCTGCTTGTAGCCAAGTCTTCATTTAGCAGCCTGTCATGTTTCCTGTCGATCTTAGGACTGTCTCGGGACTTGAGTTAGTGGCCTGCTGTGTTGTTTGGTAATAATAGGACTGTGCCATTTTTATTTGTTGACCCTGGGCTTGTTAGCCTCAGCAGCCAGCAGCTGCCTGAGTGAAGAGACCCCTCCAGCTCCAGTGGGTCAGGAGCAAGAGGCAGAGCTAGCTGAAGCTCAAGGTCTAGGGGCTTTCACCCAGTCCCTAGAGCTGGCACTTTCACCTTGGCCTTCTAGCCTCTAAAACTGTAAGAGAATAAACCCGTTTGTTAAAGCCACCCGTTTGTGGTATTTTCCGTTAAAGTGGCGCTGGACAACCAAAACCGAACCCATCAGCTGCTCCATGAAGAAAGAGGAGGCAGTCTGCTTCCATAAAGATTCACAGCCTTGGAAACCCAGTGGGGATCGCTACGAGTCAAAACTGACTCGATGGCAATGAGTCTGGTTTGGTTTGGTGTTTCAAATATTCTTTTTAAAATATGAATGAAATATATATTTTTTTACAAAGTAAATTTGTGAAGATAACTTCTACACAGATTATTCTGGTTTTTTTTTTTTTTTTTTTTCAAATAGGAAACTGACTTTGCTAATTATAAGAAGGGCTGAAACCTAGTCCCTCAAATTCTCACAAAATCATCCAGTCCTCATAGCTCTCCCTTGGGCGCCCTTCTTGGCTCAGCCAGTGATGCCTCATGCTCCTGTGGGCCAGTGACATCAAAGCTTTGGAGATCCTGATGGTTGTGGCCTTTGGAGTCCCAGGCTCTGCTGCCATCCACAGCTCCCAGCAGGCCACACCCTTGCTGACCCTTACTTTCCCATGACTGAAAGGGCCAACAGAGGTCACCCTCCAGGAGCACTAGGTTATGCTGCGTGAGGCGTCTACCAGCCTGGGCTCCAGGCCTGCTAGTTTGCCGTGCTTGTTTTGAGTCCCAAACCTGTACTCAGTCTTATTCTTTCCTGAGCACTACCCGATTGGGATCCTGGATTTCTCTGTCCTCTTGTCTACCCAGCTGTGGTCACTGTCTGTCATTCACCTGCTTGGACCAGTCGGCATCTTGTCTGAGAGTCTAGCCTTAGCTTCACCCTCGGACCTCATGGTGCTGAGACACCTGCCGGCCACACCGGCTGGCCACACCTGCCGCCCACACCGGCCAGCCAGACCTCTGAGCCACAGTCAGCATCGCTGAGCTTGGCAAACTGACGCCCGCTGGTAGGCTTCTGCAAAGCGAAGGTTATGCCAGCACGTCTGCTTGACTGTTGCCAGCATCTTGCTCTGGGTTAAACACTGGGGCTTTACAGGCTTTGCTGGAGGCAGATCTTTCAGACCAACCCATTCAGCACCAGGAGGCCATGCATGGTGCAAACAGTCAGTGTGATTAGCTGCTGACTGAAAGGCTGGACATTCGAGTCCGCCAGTGGCACCTCAGAGGAAAGCCTTGGTGATCGACTTCAGAAAAACTCAGCTATCGGAAACCCTATGGAACATAGTTCCTCTCTGACACACGCGAGGTTGCCATGAGTCAGAATCGACTTGATGACAACTGGTTTACTGGCTTACTGAGCACCATCTAGGGGCCTGCGTGGTGCAGTGGACTGAGCGAGACTCTGAGCTCAGCTATAACACTGTGAGGTCCTGGAATTGTGACGTCTTGTATCTGAACCTCAGACGGGGAAGAGCCCACCCACCTGGCAGGGAGGCTGGGCACCTGCGCAGCACTTGGCTTACAATGAGTGCTCAACACTCTTTCCCCGTCTTCTCTCCTCCACAAAACCCGAGCGTGATCAAGTCAACTGTCTGGAGTGGAAACAGGCTGGACTGACGACTGGCTAGCTTTGATGACCGACCTATCTGCTGCCGCCTCCTGGGAGGGGGGGTGGGGGGGTGGGGAAGCGAGGGCTGCTACCTGCCGGCTGGTCATCTGAGATTTCTTCAGTGGGGGCGGCTCCTCCTTCGTCTGGCCCTGCTTAGGTTTCTTAACCTTCCGTCTCAGCTCGTCTTCCTCCCGCTGCCGCTCGAGCTCCTGCTGCAGCTTCCTTTCCTGCATCTCACGTGCCAGCCTCTCCAGCTCCCTTCACCAAACCGGGCAAGGAGACAGGAGTTCAGAGGCCCTCCTGCCCGAGCCGCTTCCCTGCCCCGGCTTACCAGACCGAGGGACACTAGGCCAAAAAGCAGGAAGGCAAGAACGAAAGATGGACAGATAAGAGACAGAAATAAAAGGAGGGAGGGAACATACCACAGCCCGTATCCATCTCTGAATGGTCATTCAACAAAACCCTGATTAATTGAAACCCAGCTAGGAAGAGTTCTCAGTCAACCTGTATTTCTGTTCTAACCTCCTTTCTAAGAGGGAGAGACAAGGGCTGCTCCTAAGCTTGATACTGTTGCTGTTGTGTTGTTGTTATTATGTGCCATTGAGTCGACCCGACTCACAGCAACCCCTCCTTGGGTTTCCGAGGCAGTATCACTATGGAAGTAGATTGCCCAACCAACCCTAGAGGCAGGAAGAGGGAATTGATACCTCACCCCTTAATTTATCTCAGTATTGCCTGGGATAACACCCCAAAGGGATCCAGATGCTCCTGTATGGTCCCTGGTGAGGGACATAGGAGGCAGCTGAGATGTCTGGTCTATGAGCCTGTCAGGGTCTCGGGTGAATGGCCCAAGCCAAGGGAAGAGGCAGCCAGGCCCCACGGGATTGACTGGCAGCATCATTAAGGGCCAAGATGGGGCCAGGGAAGGCGAGAGGCATCAGAGCTCCAGGGAGCAATCACTGTGTCCACGTCGAGGGTGGACCCTGGGTCACCATCTGTTGACAGGAAGCAACGAGGCAGTGAGGACAGAGGCTGCTCAGCCTCACCTGGGGAACAGCTGTCTGGGAGCGAGCAGGGCACAGGACTGCACAGGGGTCAGAGGCCCCTCTTCCCGTGGTGCCATTACACTGCACGAGCCTCTCCCTGGCCCCAAAGGCCTCCCGGGGAGAAGGGAGCAAAGGGGCTGGGAGAAACCCTGGACGGCTGCAGCAACCAGACCAGAGTCCTGGATGGGCCACTCTCCGCAGGCCGTCTCCCTGTGGCTCCTGGGGCCTTCCTGGTAGATGGCTGGGAGCTGACAGTGCCCCATGCCAACCCTGATCTTCAGAGGGGCATGCTGCCCTACACAGGTTCCTTGGGGCGGGTGGTGGGGACCTGCTGACTGGCCTGGCCCTGGGTTCAGACCTCTTCTTTCTCTCCCGGAGAGCCTGCTGCACTTCTCTATCGAAGGCGACCTTCTCCTCCTCGGTTAAGGCATCATATTCTTCCTCGTCCATGTTCTGGAGCCGCTCCTTCTCTTTCAGAAGAGCTTCCCTGCGTTTCTGCTCTGTTGGGGAACAGAGATGCATGGTGACAAGTCTCTGCCCCCAGTGACTCAGCTCCTTCTCCAGCCAGGCAGACTGAGGAGGGCCTATGACACTGAGATGCGGCCAGTAGCTCTCATTCCTGGCAGGATGCCCTTCATTTGCATAGTCCCAAATTTGGGCTGCACCTGGGGTAGGCTGATAAGGGGCCGCAGACGCCATGTCCTAATCCTTGGAACTGAGTAGTACGTTACCTTACATGGCAAAAGGTGTTTTGTAGATGTGACTGTTAAGGACCTTAAGATGGGAAGATCAGACTGGACCATCTAAGTGAGCCCAATATAATGACAGTCAGAAAAGGAGATGAGACGATGGAAGTAAAGGTCAGAGGGGTAGGAGGAAGAGGCCACAAGTCAAAGAATATGGGCGGCCTCTAAAAACTGGAAAAGGCAAGGGAGAGATCCTCCCCCAGAGCTTCTGGAAGGATTGCAGCCTGCTCAGCACCTTAGTTTTAGTACCCTAAGGTAACAAATTTGTGTTGTTTACTAAGTGTGTGGTAATGTGTTACAGCAGCACCAGGAAACTAATACACTATCTGTTGACTTTACTCATTACGAGCATATGCCTTTGAAGTTCACATACGAACACCCAAGGAGCTATTTGCAGAGGAAGGAGAATTGCCTCCCCGCCCTGTGGATTCCAGGGTCACTTCACCAGCATGAAATATTCTTACCTTATGTCCTAGCAGGTATGAGGTTTGCATGTAGGAACCTGCATTTGAATCAATGTCTGCCACTTACTAAGGGATAATAACAGACAAGAATAAAAATTCCTCCCTCATAGGGTGGTTGTGAGGATTAAATAAAGAGGGATGTAAAGCACTTAGTGCCTGGAACATTCACAAAAGTGCAACGGATGTTAGATACTAATGTAATAACAGTGTCATTGTATGCCTGCATAGGACTTCTCCAAATGCAGATAATTTTAGGAGAGAAAAGCCTACAATTCAGTAGTAAGAAACTCCATCCAAACATAATTGAGAAAATGAAAAGGGATCGTTTCTTTCACGTTGCTCATCATGGAAAAACAATCTTTCTGGAAGGGCAGGATGCAGGAGGCAGAAATACTGCTGTGGGAGGCCCAGACATTGGGAAGAAGCATTATGGTCTGTGTCAGCTGTGCCAGAAGAGAGAGGTAAGTAAGTTCAAGGGAGGAAGGCAATGGTGTGGCTGCAGTGGAGGCTTCTCAGAGCAGGGCCCTGACTCTTGGGGGCAGTGTCACTGCAGCTCCTACACCTCCTTCACCCTGGGGGCTAAGATACACTGTCTATTCTAGCTAAATTCGGAGCTTAAGTTAGCATCACTCTGTGTATCTATTTTCCAATTATTAGTGTTTTTCCAGGCCAGGGGGTAATGACACAAAGCAAAGGTTTTAAGAGTTACAATGACCTGGCTGCCCTACTATTTTCTGTGTGATCTTATGCATGTTTTCTGCTATCTCTGAGCCTTATTTTCCTTATCTGTAAAATGGGGATGATAACCTTCACAAGGTTACTGTGAGGATTTAGTGTCTCAAACTGCAAAAATACCTGGTACAACACCTGTGCACAGCAGACTCTCATAAGATAGAGAGGTTGTTTTTGTACAAATTATCAGCCACTCCTTGGAAGGAAGGTTGGGCAATCTACTTCCGTAGAGATACTGCTTCAGAAACCCAAAGAGGGATTGCTGTTAGTTGGATTCAACTCGACAGCAATGAATTCGGTTTGTTTTGTTTAACAGGAAACCAGGGCTTTCAACCAGTTCTTCCTGGCTCAGTCATGGCTGATGAAGCGAAACCAGAATGGACTCAAATTTTTAAAATGTGGGTTACAGGAACAGAAAAAATCATATGCTGATGCCCTGCTTGAAACGTAATCTCCCTCTCAGCATGTGTGTTACACAGCAACTGCCTCTCGATTGCTGAAAACTGGTGATGGCAGCCAACCATGCTGTTTTGAATGTGTGTTGCTTTCCACAGTCCTGGCAATAATGCTATCTCCTGCATCAGCCTCCTGGATGAGGTCACTGTACCTCTTCTGAGTCTCCCATTCCATAACTTTGACCCATAATTTTTCCCATTCCAGTTACTGTTCTGGTACCACTCACAGGTTACAAATTCAGGTCTGTTCGGATTTCACTCCATGGGCCATAACCGAACTGGTTCAAAGCCCTGCAGGAAACAGATTATTGGCTTAGACCAGACCAATAAGAAAATCAGTCACCTGAGTTAGGATGGGACTTGTGGTATGTTTCCTGGGATTGATAATTATAGATTAAGTGAGGGGGTACAGTGTGACTTCAGAAGAGTGGCGTTTGTCCCTCCATGATGTAACCTTTCAACAGGTCACCTAGGTCTGTCTTCTCATACACCAAGAAGAAGCATAAGTCCTGGCCACCTCACAGGATGGTGATGAGGCACCAGCCCAATGAGCTATCATGTTGAGGAGGCATTTTGAAGGCACAAGCCTCTGTTCAGAGGAAGACCTGCTAGGGCTTGGGGAGCACAGCCAAGGAGAGCACTGGGCCTTACCTTCTTGCTCCCTTTTCACTTTCTCCCGGGCCTTCATGGCTGTGTAATCCTGGGCCATGTTGATGACGTAGATGTGCTCCCGGTTGCCAATGGCCTTCAGCAGGCAAAGGAGAGCAACAGTCCCGTTGCGAGCAAAGAGCGTTTCGAGCCCATCGAACACCACCCCTCGGTAGCAGTCACTCAGCTGAAAGCAGAGGCAGCAAAGACAGTTATCATGGCCAGAAGATCATCTGCTCTCTACGGAGAAGGCTGTTTGTTCTCTTGTTGGTGCTTTCACTGGTGCCGCAATGAGTTCTGCAGACCTACTGGGCCCCAATGAAAACACCATTAAACTGCCCTCTGCCTGCTAAAGGCATAGGGAAAGAAGATGCCAAGGAAAGAGGTCCCCAGGCAGAGAATAACGGGCAACCAGAGAACCAGCAGCAGGATGGGCCGTTCCTATTTTTCCCTGTGGCCCTGCTGCCTTGGAGAATAATGACTTTGATAATGTGAACTTTTGAAGAGCAGCCTCTGCGGCACTGCAGTGTTATTAAAAATAGCTCATGTTCTGGTCACCATTGGTTCAGAAACTCACTGTTACCAGTTTTTGATGGGACAAGGAGTTTACATCAGAATATCAATCGACTACATCATCAGACACTACTTAGTTCAGCTGGCATTTATTTTGTGGCAAGATTCTCTCAGTGAAGGAAGTGTTGCAAGCTCCGTATCTCATCCAGGACCAGCATTTCGAACAGTACAGCTCCACTGGCTTACTCTGGGCTTGACTAGTATTTCTCAGCCTTTAATCTGGGTGTCTGAAACACCTGCACACTTACTAGAAAACCTTGCTCAAATCAGTTGAAGTGATATTACCTTCACTATTCAACTGTAGCAGTCCAAAGTTTAATGTAAACCATTTCTGGTAATGATATCCCTCCTCTTCTGGGAGTCTAAGCTCGTATTTAAACATGCAATACATTTTGTGACCCATTTTGGAAAACTAAAGCAACTCCAGGACCTGGGGAACAATTTAGCTCTCTGTAAACCATGAGTGACAAACAGGCATAAGTGGTGCCCTTCCAAATCCTGCTAATCTTCTTTTCATGAATTGAGTAGCATTTATTTAAAAATGAAAGGAACAAAAATGGAAACAAAATGACTTTACTTCTGACTATAAAAGCAATGTCACTATAAAATAGTGTGTAAAGACTAGCAATCTGTAATCCTGCTACCCAAAGATAACCACAATTAACATGTACTTCAAGAGTTTTTACTGCATATGTGTAATACAAATTAGTATGTACTAGAAGAGTTTTCTGGGAGCTCTGGTAGCACAGTGGCTAAGGCACGTGACTGCTAACCAGAAGGCTGGTGGTTCAAACCCACCAGCCACTCCTCAGAAGAAAGATGGGGCATCTACTTCCATAGTGATACTGCCTCAGAAACCCAAGGAGGGGTCGCTATGAGTCAGGTCCGACTCGACGGCACATAACAACAACAACAACAACAGAAGAGTTTTCATTGTGTGTGTGTCACACATTGGTAAATATTTTATAGAAATGTAATTGTGCAATACATGCCATTCATAATCTGCTTTTTCTACTTAATGAAATACTGTGAGCATATTTCTTCAACAATTAGCACAGGTATAAACTATAATTGTTAATGGTGCCACATTACAGTTTCCAACAAACACCACAGGGCTGCACCAGGACTCTGTTTTCATGTGTATAACCTTCTTCTCTTGGGTGCTCTAAGAAGATGAATGGCTTCAGGTGCAGCCTGGACCATAGTCAGGACTGACAAGAGCTGTCAAAAGGACAAGTATGTAAATGACTGTTAGGGATATGAGGCTGTTAGCATGTTCTTCCTCAAGGCTCCTGGGCTCTGAGTTACTCAGAGTGGGCCACCAATGGGCCAGCACCTCAGCTCACTCACGGCAGCGAGGGTGTGCAGTGTCCTGAGCCCCGTGGGGAGCTCTATGCAGGTGGGTGTGGATGCACCTGTATTCGCTCCACCAGGATCTGCGTGAGTAGCTCCTCAGGGAGCACACAGCTCATCAGGCCGGTCTCACCCCCAATGCTGGTGCTAACACTGAGCCGGCGCTGGGCGGGCCCCAAGGGCAGAGGGCTGGAGGAAATCTGTTGAGAAGAAGGATAAGCGGTCCAGCTCTGTATCTCAAAAAAAGGTCCTATACCTACAAACCATGTGACCTCTAGAAAATTATATAGTCTCTCTGGGGATTATAGAAAATTGGGGACTATAATTCCTATCTTCCTTAAGAATTGGTGTGTCAGTGGGAATCTTGTGGAAAGTGCTTTATACATATACTGAACTTCACATACTTGTTCACTCATTCAACGGGCATTTACTGAACACCTTCTATGCACCAGGCACCCCTCCAGGTGCTAGGAGTTCAATAATAGACAAGGCTGACAATGCTGCTAGCTGTGTGCCGCTCACACACTAACGGCAGGACAGAAGCAGAGCGGGATTCACAAGTCTGCACTGTGGTTTATGACAGTGGTGTTCCCGGGAGAAAACAGACTGGGCAAGGGGACAGGAGCTGAGGCTGGCCCTTCAGAGATGGTGGTCACATCACTGGGGTAATGCGAAAGAATGAGCTCAAGTCAAGAGAAGAGCCTTTCAGAAAGGGGACAGCTAGTTTCCTCAACACAAGAACACGTGGGGACATTTGGGAGAACACACAGGAGGCCAGTGTGAGTGCACGGAATGAGCCAGGGTGGAGAGGGTCAGGCTCGGAGTCAAATAGAGTCAGGGACAGACTATGCAGGCCTTGTTGGCCGTGACAAGGATTTACATTCTATTCCTAGACTTATAGGAAGTCACTGGTGGATTTCAGCCAGACAAACGATCTGATTTTTATTTTAAAAGACTTCTCTCCCTGCTGCATGAGATGACAAGCAAGAAGCCTAGTTAGGAAGATATATCAGTGATCAAAGCAACAAATTTGTGGCAGGGATGAGGGGGTGGTGGAGGAGGTGGGAGATGTGGTATATTTTGCAGGTAGAGCCAGTTTCACTTGGGATGAGAAGGAAAGAGAGGCCTTAAGGATGACAACTAGTGTCACTTGGACCAAGACCAAGTAAGAAAACGGTGAGGCTTTCTCCCAAAGGAAAAAGAAGCAGTTTGTTTTGTTTGCAGGAAGCAGGATTTACTCTTTGGGCCTATGAACTCTGAGATGCTTCTAACACAGGGCAGGCTCGACTGTCCAGTTGATATTTGTGGTCTTAAGTTCAAATTGAGGCCATGAGGAGAGTTGAGTGTTTTTCTCCAGGACCGTTCAGCGAGCAGCTGGGACTGGGTTTTCCAGGGCTATCACACAGAAGGGACTCACTGACCACCTGCTGAACAAGTGACGGTGGTGTGGGGTCATCGTCAGGCCTGCCCTGAGGGGGCAGTGTAGGAATGAAGGGTGCTGACCTGGCCACAGGACACCGGGAAGAAGAAGAAGGAAGAGCCCTCGCCTTGCAGAGGACCCTGCACCGTACCTGGGGCGTTTCTGAAGGGTGCTGGTGGTGCTGCTTCTGAGACCCGGAGCCGTGGCTCTCTGCCTTGCTTTTGGTGATCAACACGCTCCCACGCACATTCTTCACAGGCTTTGTTTCGGGCGTCACCAGCGTGGATTCTGAAGTGAGCTTGCCCAAGGTCTCGCTGCTCAGTCGTATTTGTCCTGTGATGTTCGGGTCCTGGGCTACAAGGAGAGGGTATGCTTTTTTTTTTTTTTTTAAATTAAAAGTCACCTCTGAATGATAAAGAAATAACAATGGGATGGCACACCGACAAACCAAGTGAGGTTCTATTAGGGAATGCGAAGCTGCCTCCATCTGCAGAGGCAGAGCTGGGCAGGGAGCAGAGGAGCTGCCCACAGAGGATTAGATGATGGGTCAACGGGAGCCTGGCCTGGGGCCCAGGGCCCTTCATGCCTCATCTGCCCAGTGGATCCCAGGTTAGTGCATGCCCACTTTATCTCCCAGCCCAGAGAGTAATGATTTCCGAAACTGCTAGCACACTGCAGCCCTGCCTTGGAAAACTCACACCTGACCATGTGTGACCGAGACAGTGGCCTGGGGAGGCGTTCCCTGCTGTCTCAGTAGAGCCGCCCAAGCCACATCAGAATGGCATGCCTGAGGGCAAACATGGTGCTGAGACCAAGCTCTTCTCTTCGCCCCTTGCTCCCCTTCCAGCCAGACTGCCATCCCTAAGCATCTTTAAAACCAGTGGTTGTTGTAACTATTAAAAGGGTTTCATCACAGATCTTCAGAAAAAACCCTTGGGAGAGGGCCCTTGGCTTTTATGATAAACTCTTGGCAGCCTCTAGCCCTCAAACCACATCCCCCAAGGTCTCCTCCTGTCCTCTGGGATCTGACTCCTCTAGGATAGGGCATGTGCCCCGAAGGAGAACGGGGTGTACTGCTGGAAAGATGGGGTGATGGGGCTGTTTGCCAGGCAGCTCCCACATTTCTCCACTTCTCAGAATCATTAAGACTCATGACTCCATATGGACCATTTCAGCAAGTAAGTCCTCAGAATTCCCACGAGAGCTGCTGCGGCACCATATTGTCTCTGCTTTGCCTTTTATGTGGCTCCCTCCTGCCTTCCCCCAGGAGCCCATGAGAGGGACAAGGGCTCCACAGTCTATCTGGGGGTGCCAAGGCAAAGCCACCAACAAAGCAGTCACACAGACATCTGCCCTGCCTGATTCCGGAACTGCTTGATCCTATGCTCATTCCATGCCCTGTCACCCCAAATTCCTCCAGGCTCTACCCAACCTCCTTTGGAAACATTTGCCACTAGTAATCTCTCCTTGAGGGGCTCTGATGGAGCAGTGGTTAAGTGATGGGCTGCTAACAGTAAGGCCAACCAGTTGAACCCTCCAGCCGTTGTGCCGGAGAAAGATAAGGCAGTCTGCTCCTGCAAAGATTATAGCCTTGCAAACCCTATGAAGCAGCTCTCCTCTGTCCGGCCAGTTGCTGCGAGTGAGAATCTACCCTAAGGCAATGAGTTTGATGTTTTTTTGTTTTTTTAAATCTCGCCTCAATGAGGACTGCTCCTGGCCTCCTGCCACACTGGGACCTGCTGTAACTCCTGCCCCTCCTGGGCCTCTCTGTGGCCTTCCTGGTTCTGGCAGAATCTCTCCTATGGTCTCCATATGCCTCTCACCTTCCCCTGCTCACTGTAATGGCAGCAGTCCTCCACACCGTATAAAAGGTCTTCCCGACACACCCCGATGCAAGTTTTCATTTGACCCTTCATTGTTTTCAAGATACTATTTCACCTCTTCTCTTTCCTTCACTTCCAAATTTCTCCACACGGTGATCTAGACCAGCCCTATTCAATAAATATGTATGTAATTTAAAGGAGCTCTGGTGGCATAGTGTCTAAGGCATTTGACTGCTAACCAGAAGGCTGGCGGTTCAAACCCACCAGCCACTCCTTGGAAGGAAGGCTGGGCAATCTACTTCCATGGTGATACTGCCTGGGAAACCCAAAGAGGGGTTGCTATGAGTCAGATCCTACTTGACAGCAGTGAGTTTGGTTTTTTTAAATTTAAAGTTTTCTAGTAGCCACTTAAAGAATAAAAGCTCATTTCAACCCAATATAGCTCAGACATTACTGTTCTACCATGTAAATAACATTTACAATCATTATAAATGATGTTATCTTATAATCCTGTGTTCATACTATGTCTTCATAGTCTAAAGTGGATTGTATACAGCGCTTCTCAACTCAGCCTAGCCACATTGCAAGGGTTTAGTAGCCCTGTGTAGCTTATGGTTACCAAATGGACATGCAGGTGTAGAGTGACTGCTTCCAGAAACTTAAATGCAGACCGTGGACTCCACAGCAAATGCAAGTGAAGGCTTAGGCCTAAGCCCTCCAGGACAAGGGCTAGCTACAAAGTCACCAGTGTTCCCTGAACTGCTCCATACAGCTGCTGTCATCTTGGGGATTTCTAAGTGAGCCTTCAGCAGTCACTGAGTATGGTCATTGATTGATTCAGTACATTTTTCTAAATCTTGATTCTGTGTCTACAGTATGCCAGGGACTCTTCCAGATGCTAGGGATACATCAGCGAATACAACTAACACAAACCCCTGCCCTCAGAAGTTTACCATCTAGTTGAGGAGACAAGCACTAAAATAAGTAAGCAAAATAAACAGCATATTAACTAACGTGGAGGACTACGAGAGAGAGAGAGAGAGAATAAAAACTCTCTCTGCTTTGCAATCCATCTGTTTCCCCACCAAACAGCTGCTCTCCTGCCCTGGAGGTGCTCAGGTGAACTCGCAGTCAGGCTTCCCCACCTCTGGCAGGTAGGTCACACCCAGCCTCACTACTCAGGGGATCAAGACCTCAGTTCGTGTCCTTCTCCAGCAAGCTTCCCCAGGCTCCCCCTCACCGTGATCTCTGTCTTAGTAACTCAAATCACTCTCCTTTGGTTTCTGTGGCTAGAAATCCTGACGTGACCTCGTGACTGCCTCCTACTCCTTCAAGCCCCCACCATGCAGGTGGGTACCATCCAATTCTCCTCATTGTCGCTGTTGCCTCCTTTATGAGACAGAAGCCACCTCCCTATTGGGACTCTCTCAGCATTTCTTCCATGCTATGAAAACTGCCCCAAGTCCCCTCTTCCTACAAAATAGAAGCTAAACACCCAATCTTGACATTGGAGGTCAACTACAACTGGCCTCTATCTGCTTTCCCATTTCTAGTTTACTGTCAGTTTCCCTGGAAGCTCTGGTGGCGTAGTGCCTGAGGCATTTGACTGCTAACCAGAAGGCTGGCAGTTCAAACCCACCAGCTGCTCTTCAGGAGGAAGATTGGACAGACCCATGACTATGATTTGGAACCGACTCGATGGCAGTGAGTTGGTTTTTTTTTTTTTTTGGGGGGGAGGGGGTCAGCTTCCCTGCTTTCTTGGTGTGTTATGTCCCTTGTCCCCATCTTTGCCTATCAGCATTCTCCTGCTCCTTCAAAGTTCATCTAAGTGGAATGTATCCATGAAAATTCCACAAATCCCCATGCTGGAACTCATCCATCCCAAACTTGCTCTTTTCCCAGAGCAAGTACTTTTGTTCCAACATTAATGTTCCTTGGACAAAGCATGGCTGCTCCCCACCACAACGCCATTCAGGTGTCGGCCCTCCAGAGGTGCTGACTGCATCCTACACAATGCTCTGTTCCCAACAGTGCAAGTGCACGCCTGCCTTGGGCAGGGCAGGAGGGCCACATGTTTGGTCAGGAGAATTCTCTGGGCTACTGAGTTGGCAGCATGTTATTAATAAAAACCTTCAATGGGGCTGTGAGAGAACACAGCTTAGAAGGAGGAAGAAAAAAAGATGGGGCACCAGTGTGGTGCCAGCCACTGGTCCTCAGAAAGTTACAGAAGATGGGCTCTTACCGGACTCCTCCCCTTCTTTAATGGACTGCTCGATGGCAGCCTTGACACAGAGCTCACGGGCACGGCTGCCTGGGATGCTGTTCCCGTCAGTGATGGCTTCCAGCACGACAGAGTCGATGCTCAAGCAGGCCGCGCTGTAGTACTTGGCCAGGCTAACGGCGGTGGCAGACTTTCCTACAAAAAGTCAGATGGCGAAGTTTCACATTTCTTATTCGCTCAATCTGAACCCAAGACAGGAGCTTCTGGAAGAGAGGTTGCTGAAAGTAATCTTTCCAACTGCTCTGCCTCCAAGGCGCACGTGCAGCCAGAGGTGCTGTCAGAAAAGGGAAGGAAGATCAGAGCTTGGAGTCGGGACCCCGGATTCTGGTCCTTATCCTACCACCGGTGTGGGGTGCGCTGTGCAAACCCACATCCTTTCTGGGTTTTCTTTTCAATTTGAAAAATAAACTCTATCAGATGATCTTTAAACTATTATGTCACATTGCTCTTATCGTCTCTGATTCTAAGGTGAAGACTTTTTGGTTTAAAAAATAACCGTGTCAATTTCTTTTTTCTCATTTCAAAATACTTGCTCATTACAAAGAAAGTAGAAAATTCAGAAATCAGAGAAAAGAGGTCACATCCACAATCCACTCTCCAAGAACATCTCAGTTGGCACAGCATCATTGAATATGCACGTGTGACTATTTTTATTTCTTTTTGTTTTTTAAAAAAGAAATGAGTTATGAGGTAGGCTAAGTAACGGCTCCTCCACCCAAAGATGCCCATGTCTGAACCCCTACAACATGTGAATGTTATCTGATAGGATGGGATTAAATCAATGATCTTGAGATGGAAGGTTATCTTGGATGATTCAGTGGGCCCAATGTAAACCCAGGGAGGCGGGAGTGCCAGAGTCAGATAAGGTAGAGAGAATGATGATCTAAAGCTGCTGGGTTTAAAGACGGGGAGGGGCCGCCAGCCAAGGTCTAGCCAACCTCATGATTAAGTACTTGACTGCTAACCAAAATGGTGGTTCAAATCTACTCAGCGGCATTGTGGGAGAAAGACCTGGTACTCTGTTTTCGTAAAGATTACACCCAAGAAAACCCTGTGGGCGCAGTTCCAGTCTGTCACATGGGACACTAGGAGCTGAAGACCCCTAACTATAACAACGGAAGCTAGGAAAGACGAGGGAGAAGAGCCTCCAGAAGAAACTGGGAGCCCTGCCCACTCATTTAAGATGCCCGACCTCCAGAAATGTCAGAGAGTAAACGTGTGTTCCTTTAAGCCACTACGTTTGTGGCAATTTGTTATAGCAGTGATAGGAACTCATGCAGGTTAGAAATCATCAGTATGGCATTTTTCCTCACTTGAAACAATACATACACCATGCACATCTCTCTGTGCATTCATTATACTCCTGTGACACTGGTTTAATAGTGATGTAATTCACCACCTGAAGGTACTACGGTTATTTAACCAGTTCACCACACTGAACACCTGAATTCCCTGAACGGCACTTCACTGAACCTTCTTGCAGTTAATCTTTGTCTGCATCACGTACTGCTTTCCTAAGATAAAATTTTAGAAGTAATACTGCCTGGCCAAAGGTTTGTATAGATTTTTTCTTTTTTCTCTATATTTAAATAATTTAATGCCTTGGATTTTGTTCTCTAATATTTTAATGTTTTTACATTATTAAAGAAATACAAGTTCAAAAACTTAAGAGAAGTATAAATTAAAAATGAGCTCTTTCTCTCTCCTCTAATCCTGATCTCCTGGTCAGCAACTTAACAGTTGGAGGATGACCCTTTGGTATATACATTTTAAACAAGGGAGTAATTTGCTGCCTCCAAAAATCACATGTGCTAACTTTACCACCAAGCCAAGAGGGGCCGAATCACCCACTCTGTACAGTGGGTCTGGATACAAACCACCACACTATTCTCTGTGAAGACGCCTTGAAACTGTCGTGGCTGTAGTCCTCATGCCAGAGTTGGCTGCTCTGTTTAAGCTCTTCCTCTCCAGACCAAAGTTGGTGAACCCCACCCTAGAACAGGGCTTGGTGGCTCCGTCCAGGTCAAGTGCATTTTCAGGGTTAACCCACCAGCTGTCTTAAATCTCTGCTGATCCATCATCATTCTGCCTGGCACCCCTCACAGATAAATGCAGAAATGGCCATAGCTTCTGAGGATGGTGGGGTCTCTCAGGCATGTTAAAGCCACATTCTGACCTGCCCTGTTTAACTCTCATCTGCTACCCCCAAATCTGGCCTTATATCTTTGAGGTTCTGACCTATGGTTCCTCAGTTTTGGGGTTCAAAGGAAGAAGTCATGAATTGTCACAATTTAAAACATTCCAAGGCTTCCCACAGTGATTAGGACATAGGAAAGGCTCCATAAATGTTTTCTGTATGAGTGACAGTAATTGGGTCAGAAAAAGGTGTCATAGCCTTTTCTCTGAGTAAGCTGAGGCTAAGAAAACTGTAGGACTAAGGCCCTTTCCTTCTGCCATTTACTAGCTTGGGCTAATGTCCTTGAATTTCTTTGAACTTTAACTTCCTGTGAGGTGGGGACTATCAAACTCTCCTTACTGATCGTGAGGTTTAAACAGAGAACTGGATGGGAAGGAGTTCTGCAAACCGTTAAGCCAATGTGTAAGTTGCAGATCTTGCCCATTGTAGGTGACTTCGTTCCTTTTGGGTTTAGGGTGAGGTTAGCGTATGGAACTTTTGAAGGCAACAGAGGAGCCTCGTTAAATAATGGCTCACTCCTTGCCTGGTCCCCACCAGCAACACAGTCCACGAGACTATCTACCAGAATGCGATTATTAGAAGGTTTGCTTTATTTTTTCTAGGGGAGTTTAAAATCTCAGCTCTGGTTATAACTAACAATGATCATAAACAGGCTTCATCATAATGAAAATAACAGCAACAGCTGTTTGCGTATTTACCATGTGCCGAGTACCAGGCTTAAGCATTTGACAGGAATGTTGTCATTCAATTCTCATGCCTGCACTGTTGTTGTTATTAGGTGCCATCGAGTCAGCTCTGACTCACAGAGACCCTACGTACAAGAGAATGAAACACTGCCTGGTCCTGCACCAGCCACACAATCCCTGCTATACCTGAGCCCATCGCTGCAGTCACTATACAAAGTTTCAGGGCTATTCATAGTTTTCCAGTACTATATCGGACAGTGTTTCACAGCTATTCATAAGGTTTTCAGTGACCAATCCTTTAAGAAGTGGATGGCCCCTTCCTTCTTCTAAGTCCGCCCTGCTGAAACATGTCCACCATGGGTGACCCTGCTGGTATTTGAAACACCAGTGGCACAGCCTCCAGCCTCACAGCAACAAGCCATCTACCACAGGAGGACAAACTGACAGACAAAGGTGGGTGCCTACAGTCTACACTGCTAATACTTTACAGTCAAGGAAATAGGGCACAGAGAATTTGAGTAACTTCCCCAAAGACACAAAGCTAGTAGATGGCGTGTGTGAAGACTGACACAGGGTGGTTGGGCTCCAGGGTACATGGTGGTCAACATCTACTATACTGTCCTCTAATGAAATCACTAGCCTCTCCCCCGCCCTCGCAGTGGTGTTTCCGGTCCCCACCTCCCCTCATGGTTGTCTGTTACCTGAGACAGGCGTCCCGTGGACAATAATGGCGATGCCCTTCCGGTTCTTGGACAGGCGGCCTTCTGCAGAGATGTCAATGCCCAAGTGGCGGGCGATGGCCTTGCTCACTGGGTTGTTTTCGACTTCTCCAACCTCCTCCAAGGACTGGCTGTCGATGCTCTGAGTCTTGTCAGCTGCAAATTAAAAACATGCAAGTGTGTGCATATGCCTATATGTGTACACCCTCAGAACTTACATGAGTCCTAATGGAAATGTTGTTGTTATTTGCCATCGAGTTAGACCTGACTCATAGCGACCCCTCCTTGGGTTTCTGAGGCAGTATCACTACAGAAGTAGATTGCCCTATCTTCCTTCCGAGGAGTGGCTGGTAGATTTGAACCGCTAGCCTTCTGGTTAGCAGTCAAGTGCCTTAAGCACTACACCACCAGAGCTCCTCTGATGGAAATAGGAAAGGGATTTTCTTTTTTAAACGTTATTATAAAATGTCAAATGTGATCTGCTACAAACCTTGCAGTGGTCCTTGCTCTCACCCATAGTGCAGGAGAGTGCCCTTTTGGCTAATGAACTGACTATAGCTACAAAAATAAAAAATATATACACTTTTTATTCTAATTCCATTTTTTGGGACTTTCTCCTGTCAAAAATAGAAAGGGGCTTTGTGTGGAGATGCTTAGTTCTAGATGATATACTTCAAAATGGTCAAAATAAAGGATAGCATATTTATAGTTTGGAATTAATACAGTAGCTATTAAAATAATGATTTGTATCAAAACTATAGCCTAGAGGCAAACCTGTCCTGCCACTTGTTTTTGCAAATAAAGCCTTACTGGTCCACAGCCATTGCCCACGTATGGTCTTTGGCTGCTTTCAGATTACAAAGGCAGAGGTGAGGAGCTGCAGCAGAGAATGTATGGCCCACAAAGCCTAAAATACTTGCTGTTTGGCCTGTTATAGAAAAAGTCTGCCAATCCCTGCTTTAGATGAGCAAGTGCTGGCCTGAGTGATGTCTACGGTGGGAAACAACAAGCTGCAGTGGACCGTGTTTGTGCAGAGCAGTATATGGCCAAACATGCACATACCTGCGCCTCACTCATTGACCGCCAACCTCATTACGTGACATTTCACGCTTACAGCAATAGTAAAAAAACTACCATCCAACTATTTTGCGCATTAACAACATACATCTGGCCGTAACAAATCCTGAGGCACAAGGGGAGAGTCACACTGGCTTAAGGTTATGATGAAAATTAGGTGTCAACATGGCTGGGCCATGATCCTCAGTGGTTTGGCAGTTATGTCATGATGTAATTTGGCAGTCATGTTATGATGCAGTCATCTTCTATTTCCCCATAATGCCAATATTTGCATAACGACCTGCCCTTTGGAACCTAAACAAATCGGTAAGTAAGGAATAGGTGCAGTCACTCCAAACATGTTTTAATAACAAAACTAGGATCATACTCTGGATTTTGTTATATAACTTGCTTTTTCATGGAATGTCTTAGACATCTCTCTATTCACTTTAAAATAGATCTCTCTCATTCTTTTTAAAATAGCAGTTCAAGTATTTCATTGTATGGATTCTTCATAATCTAACTAGTATCCTTCTGACAGGCATTAAGTGGTGGCTTCTAGGTTTGTCCATCCTTGATATTATGGTGACCCTCCTCTGTAAGATGTCTGGGGCTGGTTCTGGGAGATCCCAGGGACTGAGGACAGGAAGCACAGCCAGGAGGGGATGTCAGTTAGGGGCAGGTCAGCAGAGCCAAAATGGATTGAACGTGAATTTCTGCACTTCAATCCCAGTTTTGCTGTTGCACACGCCTGCCTTCCTTCACCCACCTTCTGGACAAGGTTGCTTACATCTTCTCATGGTTTATTGGGCCTAGCAAATAAATGGTCCAGTAAATCCACTTTTGCTGAACCTGATTTTCCAAATATGGTTTTAATGTCTTGTATAACTTGGGCACGATGAAGCAGCCCACAATGCTGGGAAGTCAAATCGTGTATAATAATTTGTAGTCTGCTTTCATTTCCTCATGTCACTGTTAAGCACATTTACCATTTTGTCTACTTAGTAGCATAGTGCCTAAGGCATCTGACTGCTAACCAGAAGGCAGCAGTTCAAAGCCAGCAGCCACTCCTCAGAAGAAAGACTGGGCAATCTACTTCTGTAGAGATACCGCCTTGGAAACCCAAGGAGGGTCACTATGAGTTGGATTCGACTCAATGGCTGTGAGTTTGGTTTGGTTTTTGGTTAGTACCCTCTCATTACTCCTATTCCACTGGAGGGGGTTTGCCTACATAGTCCTGTAGGTACCTGACACTAGGAAGAATGGCACCCGTAAAATGTTTCTATGACAACCTCCCAAACCAAAAGAAAACCGAAACCCATTGCCATCAAATTGATTCCAATTGAAAGTGACCCTACAGAACAGAGCAGAAGTACCCCATATGGTTTCCAAGGCTGTAAATCTCTATGGAAGCAGACTGCCACATCTTTCTCCCATGGAATAGCTGGTGGGTTCGAACCATCAACCTTCTGGTTAGCAGCCAAGCATTTTAGCTACTGTGCCACCAGGGCTCCTTAAATAGCCTCCAGTCTCTTAGAATTTTAGCATTAACAACACAGGCCTTCAGGTTAATATTTCCTCACCCACCCCACTGCCATCAAGTCGATTCTAATCACACTAGTTAAAACGCAAACAGCTGTGCCAAGAAGTATATATTATATGTTAAGTTGTTGTTGTTATGTGCCATCGAGTCGGCCCTGACTCACAGCGACACCTCCTTGGGTTTCCGAGGCAGTATCACTACAGAAGTAGATTGCCCAATCTTCTTCCGAGGAGTGACTGGTGGGTTTGAACCGCCAGCCTTGTGGTTAGCAATAAAGTGTCTTAGGCACTCTGCTACCAGAGCTCCTATATGTTAAGTGCAACAGTGTATTTCTGTGCTTGTCTCACAGTGTGAGTCGGTGTATCAGAGCCAGGGTGGGGCTGGAGTGGCCAGTAGGGGGTGCTGAAGATGCATTTTACAGAGAAAGGTGAAAAGACACTGAACTGTCTTCCCATTGTTGCTTGGGAAGAACTGGTACCAAAACATTAGAAAGCCGGGTTACTTTGAAACATGATTTTCTCCAAGCTGTCGTCATCTTCCTCTTCGTCCGGGTATGTTTTGGACTCGATCACAGTGATGTGCTGCTCTTCCAGGTTGGACGTCAAAGAGATTCCTCGGCTGAGTGAGGTCCTCTTTGTGCTGATGGAAGTTCCCTGGTCTGACGAGGGCCCATCTTCATCATCTGCCAGGGAGCAAGAGATGGGAACACGGGGAGTTGGGAGAGGGGTAAGGGAAACACATGAGCTGAGACGGAAAGAAAGGCAAATCTGGTCACAGCACCACCACAGACTCTCCAATCAAACGAGTGCCCAGGGCAGCTGGTTAAAGTTCCTCTGCCCAGAGCATTTCTGTAGTTCCTCAGGTCCAATACCAAAATTACATGCTCACTCCAGAAAATCTGGTAACTTCAGAAGAGCACAAACTAAGATTCAGCTGTAATCCCACCATCACCATTTCTTTCTTTATGTCTCTTTGCAATGCTTAAAAATGAAACTTGAGATCATATTATACATACTGACCTGGAGCCTGCTTTGCCCCTTAATTGATCACAAACATTTCCCCATGTCCATGCTAAACACATCTACCATTCTGTCTGCCTGGCACACTCTCATTGCCCCCACTCCACGGGGTTTCAGTAGGAGCAGCTGGCTGTGAGTATATAAGGTGAACCCTTCTCCAAGACACAGTTGCCTGTAGGCACCTGGCCCATCTGGGCCAAGGCATCCTCTCCACCTGGAATCTGCAGCTTGAGAGGCTGCAGCTCTTGTGAGTGGAAGGGATGTGACTTGGGGCTGCTGGCCTACCCTGCGTGGCAAGAAGGGTGGTTTACAGGGTGAGAGCAGGGAGCACAGATACTTAGACAGAAGCACTGGTGAGAGGCAGAGGTCCCCCCGGCCCCCCACCGTCCTACTCTAGAGCACCTTCTATGGGCCAAAGAAAGAAACAAAGCCCATACTGTGGTGCGTAGAGGCTGGCATAGTGCTGCCCTCCCGTGGCCCTTGGCACATGAGGCCTCCTGCAGCTCCCCGCCTTTGGCCGCTATGTCCTCAGCATGAACGGCCCCGCCTGGGAGCGCTGCGGCACACTCATCTTTTTCCAGCTCCTCAGCTCAGTGCTTGGTGTACAGCTCCATCCCCGTGGCTCTGAGAATGGGCAGGGTACCGTCTGACCTTTAAGTAATATTTTATTGAGTTTGTGGCAAAAGTTTACACAATTTAGGTCCCCATTTGACAATTTCCACACAAATTGTTCGGTGACCTTGGTGACATTTTTCACGGTGTATCAATGTTCTCTGACTGATGTTCAGCTTGTTCCTTTTCCAGTACCCTGGATCCTCGTCCCCCTATCTTTTCACCCTTGCTTTTGAGTAACTGCTGACCTTTGGGTTTCTACTGATGGTGTTTAAGAGGGGCACCGATCCCATGGGGAATAGTCTTTATTTTGTGTGCCACTCTGCTTTTTCGCTGAAAGGTGATCTCAGGGGGCAGGCTTGTCTGTAGGTTTAAGGGGTATCTCAGAAGACAGACTCAGGGAGTCCTCTGCTCTCAGCTGTTCCAATCTGCTGACTTTTATGGGGGGTAAGAATTTGAGTTCTGCTCCATATCTTCTCTTATCTCGTTTTAGGCCAAACTAGTATTGTCAGACAAGCTTCTTTTTCCTTGGAAGACTGCAAGACAGGCCAAGGGCATGAGGAAAGGCCTCCCTTCAGTCTGCTCATTCCCTCATACAGTGCTGTTCCAAGCACTGGGTTTACAAGTGGGGGATGTGTGATCACTGCCTCTATAGGGCTGGCAGGCATGAAGATAGCTGCAGGACTGACAACCGCTCTACAGAAGAACTGAGCAAGTAAGAACAGGGTCAGTGCGTTTCCAGGAGGAAGGAACAGATGGGTAGGAAGGACAGGGTGCATCACAACAAGCCACAGTCCTAGGGGTCAGCAGGAACCATGATATCCAAGGGGACACAAGGGAGCACTGGGCAGATGATGGCATACCTCGGGGAGCTGGGCCAAAAAGGGCAAGATGATGAGACACAGGCCAGCTTTGTGATTGGGTCACCCTGAACCCTCACCCCGTGTCACTGAGGACACTAATTTCTACCAGGGCTACGGTTAGCCACACACATAGGAGGCAGTGCAGTAGAATGGTTAGTGCCATGGATGCTGGAGTCAGAGAGACCTGAGTATAAAGAATGACTCTGTCACTTCAAGTTGTGATCTAGCCTCTCTGCTTCAGTCTGCCCTTCCGTGCACATAAAGCTCTCAGCACGGGGCTTGGTATCCAGTATCCTGGTATGCAGTTGACATATGGTGTCAAGCTGACTCCGATACACAGCAACCCTATAGGACAGAGGAGAACTGCCGCACAGGGTTGTTGGTCTTTCCTCCTGTGGAGCTGCTAAAGGGTTCAAACTGCCAACCTTTCAGTTAGCAGCCAAGCACTTTAACCCTTGTGCCACTAAGGTGTGTGTGTCTGTCTGTCTGTCTCGAGCTGTAGAATGTGCCCCAGCCTCTGCATCCATAAAATGGAGATAACAGGATCTATTTTGTAAGGGTTAGCAACTCAATATATAAGCTACCTAACACCTGCCGGGTGCTTAGCAGGCCCTGAGGAATTGATTCCTCCTGCAGTGGCAGGAGCCAGGGTTTTGGCGCTGAGTTCTTACCGTTCTCCTCCATATACTTTGCCTTCATCTGCTCCTCTTTCAGTTGCTTTATCTCCTTAAAGTACTCATACACCTCTTGGGGCAGCTTCTCCCCTGGGATGCGGGGAGGCAGCAGCAGAGTGTTGAAGGAATCGTAGCCCTTCAGCTTCCGTAAGATCTGCTCAAGGGGAGAAAGGGGAACTGCTGTTGGTTTCACTGGACGCTCTCTCCCTGCAGCCCCAGGTGGCTGTGCTGGGTGGGCTCTGAGGCCTGGGTCTGCTCATCCATCTCAAAGAGCCCCTCCTTTGCCGTCGTCTGAGACTGGGGTCTGTACCCCGGAGGCTGGGCTTTGGAGTGGGCCCCTGCCTTTGCCATCGTCTGAGACTGGGGTCTGCACCCCGGAGGCTGGGCTTTGGAGTGGGCCCCT